CAAACCGTAAATAAAGTACAATGAATCCTAATACCGGCTCTAAGTTTTAAGAGACGCAACGCGGAAGTCATATAACGAAAGACACTCTTAAGGACACTTGAACCTGGAGTGCTCTAATACCAACTGTGATATCCCCGGATTCTAGAATGCGGGTTGGCCAGGCCCACGCCTGAATACCCGAGGATATCAAAAACAAATCGGTAATAAACGAATACAGAGTACAAAAGAATAAAGAAGAATAAATAAAATGCTGACAAGAAACTAAAATGATAATCTAATAATAAACCTCAGAATATATTTCCATTAATTAATAAACTCTTCTGATACAACTGATCCTCCAAAATACAACTCGGGAATCCATACTGTGTGGACCCCTAGAAAATTCAAACTGAACAAATGACAGCAATAACTATCTAAATCAGGAAATTGAATCATAAAGGAACTCCTATGTAGCATCGGAAGAATGAAGTAGACTGATCCCCGCTCAGCACGAACAACCTCTACTCCTGACGAACACCTGAAAAATAATGGTGGGTCAGGTCCACAAACAAGTTCTACTCTACTACAGTCCAAGCAGAGATCCGATACACGTATACATCCTAGTCAATCCAACAGTAACTAGTAGTCCGTATATATATATATATACACACTAAAAGAACCTCACTAGACTATAGGGTTGTCTTAACCTGAATAGTAGGCAACATGCAAAACGCACATATAGTGGGCATGAGTACATAGACCTACTAGGGTACACAACTACACTATATCTAGCTACACATCCCTGGCGATATACGCACCCTAACCATTGATCCTGAGACTCAAGCTCATATCTTGGCACCATACTTATATATATATAATCTAGTAACCATCCTATTCAGTATAAATTAATCCTCCATAAGTCATTCAACTTGTTCAGCTGACCTGACTTGAATATAAGTAGGATTTAACATTTTAGTTAATCCATTCCCTTATTTAATAAATTAATCCTCCATAAGTCATTCAACTTGTTCAGCTGACCTGCCTTGAATATAAGTAGGACTTAACATTTTAGTTAATCCATTCCCTTATATAAAATAGGTATGACTTAACTGATAAGTTAATCCGTCCTTAGAATGCCACCGTCCCATACCGGTGCATTAAACCACACAATCCATCAATTAATGTAACGATTAAGGAAATTAATCAAACAATCCAGAAATAACTATGATAATATGATATCAAGTTATCACAAAATAGGAATGACTTATTATTTATTTAAGCTTCCTATATCATATTTTCTACATAAACTGATTCTTATACATATGATGATATTTTATTATACCGTCAAATAAGCATTCTCCATATCCAATTCATCATACACATTTAATCTCAATTGCTAAAACATATTAAAAGATTAAATTCATTCGTTTGTTTAAAACATTCTAATAGCAAACATCATTATGATTGAGTCTATTTAAATTTATTTAAACCCAAACCTAATTCCTATTTAATGTTCAGGAATCCTAGGCATGTTTCTACGTTCCATCATTTCACAGATATGAAAAATATATAATTTAAACATGTAAAAATTCACACTGAAAATCAAATCAAAATCCTGCATTTATCAATTCATAACACAAGAACAGATATGAACAAAATTCATAAAACCTATGTTCTAATCCAATTAAACATGCATAATTATTTAATTTTATGTGTTTAATAAATCCTGGAATTTCCTAAACACGAATCAAAGGGAAAGAAATAGAATAAGAACTTACCTTAAACTTTCGAATCGAAAGTTAAACTTCTTCTTCCTTGATCTTCTCTCTCTACAGGGTTTTTTTCCTCCTTCATTCTCTAACTCTCTCTCTTTCTCTCTATAACATATATCACGTGAATATTTCTAACCCCCTTTTACAATCTATAGCTATATATTTATAGGCTAAATAAAATAACCTTAACCCTTTTCCCAATCCAAGTCAACTTAAAAAAAATAAAAAATAAAACATTAAAAAGGTAAGTAAAATATGTTATGTATATAATTTATGTATATCTTTATTAAATAAATAAATTATACACATTCCATTATTTATTAATGGATTATTCAATAATACTTAAGGTACCATAATATTATAAAGTAACTTAAAACATAATACGTATCAAATCTTTGTATATTTTTATTATTTAAATATAAAACATATACATCAGATAAAATATTACTACCCAGGTTACCATAAAAATAATTAATCAATTACTTTTCCTTTTATATATATTAAAAAGGTAAGTAAAATATGTTAAGTATATAATTTATGTATATCTTTATTAAATAAATAAATTATACACATTCCATTATTTATTAATGGATTATCTAATAATACTTAAGTTACCATAATATTAATAAGTAACTTAAAGCATAACACGTATCAAATCTACGTATATTTTTATTATTTAAATATAAAACATATACATCAGATTAAATATTACTACAGAAGTTACCATAAAAGTAATTAATAAATTACTTTCCTTTTTATATATGTATATAATATAAATATATATATATACAGACACAACTATTCATGGGTAATAATTTATACACATCTAACTTCCTATTCAAGTAGTCCATGTGACCTAATTGGTTGGCCCATTATTACTAATCATAACTATAAAAGAAAATAAAATAAAATAATAAAAGAAAAGAAAATATTTAATTTACAATTAATCAAAACACCATTTAAACACATAATCTAATTAAATAATTAACACATAGACAAATACAAATAATACATAGACACATAATCAAATAATCAAGTAATACCTAATTTAATTAAACACATAAACAATTAGTCATATAATCAATTAAATAATTAAAAATATAATTAAACACAAATAAATAAATACCGAGATTATCCTTTTAAAATTAGGGGTATTACAGCCATTTAATGCATTTGGTCTCTTATTTTGGTTGATTGTTTTTCACTACAACAATTATTTTTCGAAACTAAAGCATGAGAAATTATTATTTTTACAAAAACTATTTTTATATCAATTAATAAATATTTTTTTATATAAATAAATAAATACTGAAATACAGAAACACTTTGCATGCTTTTATTAGATAATTTTTAATTAATAAATATTTTTGATTTTAATAATTATTGTCTAATTAAATTTACTTTTATAAAAAAAACTCATAATAAATAGATAAATAGGTAATTTGTACTTAAATACTGAAACTCTTTACACATCTAATAATAGTATTATATCAATTAATAAATATTTTAAATATTTTTTTATATAAATAAATAAATACTGTATTTTATCCTGGAATTATGGATTTATAGAATTCTCAATTTCTATACTCCTTCCTCTGTCCTCCATGCCTCTATTTATATGCTTTTTGGATTAATAAGATGATGACATGTGTCCTTTTCTGATAATTACATAATCATAACTGGGCCAGGCCGGTTATATTGTGATAATTATCCATAAAAAATAACTAGAACTAAAAATTAGAGTCTTATATAGAATGTGATTGATTTTATTAGGTAATTTTTAGAGTTTTATAGAAACTATTTTTATATCAATTAATAAATATTTTTTTATATAAATAAATAAATACTGAAATACTGAAACATTTTGCATGATTTTATTAGGTAATTTTCAATTAATAAATATTTTTTATTTTAATAATTCTTGTCTAATTAAATTTACTTTTATTAAAAAAAACTCATAATAAATAGATAAATAGGTAATTTGTGTTAGAGTTTTATAGAAACTCTTTTAAAATATCTTTTTATGTCAATTAATAAATAATTTTTTATAGTAATAATACTTGCCTAATTAGATTTCCTTATATTAAAAAACTCATAATAAATAGATAAATATGTAATTTGTGTTAGAGTTTTACAAAAAATCTTTAAATATATCTTTGTCTAGTGTGATGTAGTTTTACTAAAAATAAAATAGGTAATTTGTGATTAAGTTTTATAGAAATTATTTTATTTTTTTTAAATATATCATTGTCTAATTAGATTTAATTTTACTAAGAAACTCATTATAAAAGCTAATTTATAGTAGAGTTTTAGAAAAATTATTTTATTTTATATATCAATTAATGAATATTTTTATATTCATAATTCTTGTCGAATTAGATTTTCTTTTATTAAAAAATTTATAATAATAAATAGATAAATAAGTTAATTTATGGATCATTTGGTTGGTTAAGCATAATTGATTATAGATTGAATTTTAATTTTATTAGTTAATTTTGAGTTTTATAAAATTTAAATCGTGGGATATAATAATTAATGAGAGCTCTTTATTGTGAATTAAACTCTTTTTATATTTTGTTAATTTGAATTTTATTAGGTAATTTTGAGATTTATAGAATTTATATCAATTAATAAATAAATACTGAAACTCTTTGCACAAAGGCCAAGAAAGTAGTACTACACTTGATTTTAACCAAAAGACCAAGAAAGGCTAGCCAAAAGGCCGACCCAAAAATATTTAGTACTACACTTGATTTTAGCTAAAAGGCCGAGAAGGTGTGATTATTATTTCTTTAATTCTATAGTTTTATAAGAGACTTTCATGTAATTCTTTTTACTTAAAACCAATGTCAAACTTTGTAATTTGAATTAAACTCTTTTTAAAATTTATTAATATGAATTAATTTTAATTTTATTAGGTAATTTTGAGTGTTATATAATTTATATTAATTAATAAATATATACTAAAATACTGAAACACTTTGCACATTTAATAATAGTATAGATATATATATTAGTTTTTTTGTTGTAAGATAATTTATTCAAGTTATACCTTTTTTAGTTTTTTGTTTTGTTTTTTACTATATATATATTTTTTGGGCTGGGACTCTCAAAGAGGGAGAGAGGGAGACAAATTATATCTAGAAGAGTAATTGTATAATTTAAAAATAAATAATTATTATTTTTGTAATACTCCGTAAATAATTTCGGTCCCTTTATTTTTCTTTCATTTTTCATTTTTAATGCTGCAAGAAACAGCCATTTGCACATGCACCCTGTAAAATAACACTCCTCTTCTTTGAAGAGTCATTTGCCCCTATGCTGGCAAAGCCCTCTCTCTCTACACACACCTCTATAACAATTGATTTTGTTCCGGTCACTGTATAGTGAGTAAAGATGCATCAAGGGTATCAGAACGGTGGACCCTTTGATTTGGCTCACCTTCAAGCCACCATGCGAGAAATCGAACTTGCTTGCAGTTCCATTCAGGTTTTTTTTTTTTTCGCTTCTCTCTCTCAATTCCTTTTTTCATTTTTCTGATTGTTCGATTATTCAAGAATTTGTAATGCTCTGTTTGGTTCGAAACAGAAAGAAATGGAAATATTGTATATATGATTTTGTGATTTCTGGGTTCTTTGTTAATCTTTTGGATCTTTTGTTCCATTCAGGTCATACAGACATACACATAAAAGATTATAATAGGAGTTGTTCTTGAAATTGAACCAAGACCACATACTTGGAATAACCCATTTATACACATAGTCACATAAAAGATTATAATAGGAGAAGTTCTTGAAATTGAACCAAAACCACATACTAGGAAGAACCGAGTTATACACAGTCACATGAAAGATCATAATTAGAGAAGTTCTTGAAATTTGAACCAAAACCACATACTAGGAAGAACCCATGGACAGAGTCCTTGAAAGATTGTTATTAGAGAAGTTATTGAAATTGAACCAAAACCACATACTAGGAAAAATCCAGTTATACACAGTCATGTAAAAGATTATAATAGGAGAAGTTCTTGAAATTTGACCAAAACCACACACTAGGAAGAATATAATCTATAAATAAACAAAATTTTTTAAGTACCCAGAAAGGTAGAAAATAATGTTTGTTAAACTCGAGCTAATATGATCTGATTGATCCCTAAAATAGACTCTCGTAACTTGTTACTATTTATGCTATATGTTTATTCAAGCAAACTGTGAATTTATTTTCTAACACACAAACACACATTCATATAATATACGGAGTATGTAATATGACGACAAAGACTAATTTCATTTCAACATTTATTTTAGAGTTATTGAATCAATTACATTATTTTGTCAATATATTTAATTAATTACATAACATTTTAAATCACTGACTGGGTTCTATTGCACGGCTCTTAGTATCAGTGAGTGAATTACATTCCCTATTGGCTTTCCAATTGAAAATGGGATTACATGCAAAGATAAACTTTGCAAAGATACACTTACTCAAATTGGTTTATATTTTTAGCAGATGCATGTCAATCCGGCAGCAGCAGAGGCAACTATTTTATCACTATGCCAGTCTCCTCGGCCATACCAAGCTTGCCAATTCATTCTTGGTAAGTTAATGTAATTAGATATGTTTGAAATAGCTAAAAATAACATTCTTTCATACTCTACTTGGAAGTTGTTCACGTGACAGTTTAGCACAATGACAATCTTGAGGTGGTGTTCTTGAGGCCCCAAAACTCTGTGAGCTAAGATTAATTTGACGGACTTGAAATTTTATACTGCTTGGTAAGTGACTCTAGGCTTTGGACTTTGGAAAGGTGGGTTGTACATGGGATGAAAATAAGGTGCAAATCCAATTGTAAGATTATGGTATTTTGATAAACTCCTTCGATAATTAGATCGATTCACATGTGTAAAATGTTAATAGACCTAGAAAAAAAATGGTGTTTTGGGCCGGGGGATGTGTGTTTTTTGTTTTTTTTTTTTTTGGGGGGGGGGGGGGGGGTTTAATAGGTCTCTTTTAAATTTTGCTTCAAATTAAATTTCCTTTCGTTTCTTCATCACAATCATTAGAAAAACGAAATAGCAAATGATTAAGCAGAATAACGGGAGCTAGCAATGCGCGGGACACAATTTTTACATTGAAAATTTGAATAACTACGGACTTAGACTAGAGCCAAACAGTAAGAAGCCAAACTAATATGACATTACCATGCTAGTCTCGCCTTAGAATCATTATTCAGCTTATTTTACCTCCAAAACAAACTTTTGCAAGAGACTCCACTAAGCTTTGTTGCTGTCCTTTCTCTCTCTGTAACTCTCTCTTTTTCCATGTTTAATGTTTTTCACTAACCTGTATTTGATAAGTATCATTGGAAATCACATGATCAGCTGGGGAATGCAACCCGCAACAGGCTACAGTCTACACAAGGGCCCCTAATCTCTCAATAGATCCAAAAAAATCCACTATGTCCCCACCCTCGATTTACAATTTCTCTCGAAAGCCCAACAAAAAAGAGAACTAATAATGGAGAACTTACGCATCCCAACAGGAGTCTCCTCTCCGTCAAATGATCTCCTATTCTGTTCCATCCACAAACCCCACCAAACACACAAGGGCACCACCCACCAAACATCTTCGATTCTTGGCCTTGGAAACCCACTGTACAACCTCTCAAAGCCTCAATCATGCTCCTTGATATGTGTCTATCAAATTGCTTTCTCTAGCCCATTGTCCATTCCTTCAAATGCAATGTGTGTCTCTGCAGTTTGGAACTTGTCTTCTCAATCCACAAGAGAAGTCTTGATCATCACTCAAGTAAAACACTCAGTATCCACTGAGTGTGATTTAAATCCAAGAGTAGCTTGCTCTAGAAAAGTTTTTTGAAGCTTAAGTAGCATGCTCTATTAGTTTTTTTTAAAGATGTGTCTATGTGTATGCACTTCTCTTTCTTGTATGAAAACATGGTTTTATATAGGTGGGAAACCCTAATCCATAACCTTGAACAATATTGAAATTGATTGACAGACTGAGTTTAGTCCAAAAAGTCACCCTTTTAAGTTCGGAAACCAATTTTTTTGAAACTGGCGATCTGAGTCCTGGTGCTTACATTTTGAGTTACAGCTTAATCAGCCCATTCTGCCGCTGAGTACTAGTGCCCAAATTTTATGCAACCGGTAACTTACCTCACTTGAGGATTGAGTATCGGTGCTCAAAATATTGACTACCACCTACTAGTGAACAGATGCTCAGATTGTTAAAATCTATTTAAACCATTTCAAAATGCTTTCAAAGTAATTCCAAAACAAGTTTAAACATTCCAAAACTAAAATATGAAAGGACTAAGGCACCTAGACACAATTTTTATCTTGATCCTATTTTGTGAATCCCTAGTACTTCATTGAATTTCAATTGTCCTAGACTCCTATGTGCCCCTCAGTAACTCAATAAATGTCTCTCATTGTGAACAAAACCCAACGGACCTAAGACTCAAGAAAGTTAAGTTGAAATTTTTGACGCTAAATTTGTTAACGCACAACGAGACTAAGTCCTAACAGTTTGCTCGAACAAGATACTAACTGGCGTGATCCTGTTACATCCCACAATCTATGTTACAAAATTTTTAGATGCAGTGAAAGTCTACCCTATCAGCATTATCAATTAAATGTGCAATGAATTTCATCTGAAGAAATCATAATCGGTTATTGGAATTACAACAAAACCGAACTATATTTTAAGCCAAGAGCGGCAAAACTTCCTGAAAACCCTAGTTAAAAATGATAGTCTGTCTTTAGTGGATTGCAATTTCTTAAACTGATTACTGAATTTTTACATTATGAATCATAAGTAATGAAGTTCAATCCAATGAAAGTTTATTTTGTTCTTGCTTGCCTTGTACAAAATTAGATCTAGGAGAAATATGATCTAATGATGTTCAGGTGCTCTGTGCATTGGAAACATTCTTTCAGTTTGTTTATTGTTGTTGTCGTCACCCCTATCCTCATGGTTAGCTGCGCAAATTGTGCTTTGTGATTTAAGCCTATTAAATGCTACGTTCTAATTTGAAAGCATCTGAACACAAATTTATCTTTTGTGGTGAATCAAAGTGTCATTCTTTTATTCTCTTCTTAATTTCTTATTTGTGCGTGTGTCAGGTGCGGGTTTGTGTCCGAGCATTGAATGTATCAACTTCCTAAATAGGACAGAAAGAAATTGCTAAATATTCATATTATTTGTTTCTTTTTTTTCTTCTGAAGTAAAATATGTAACGTTGTGTTCAAAATAGTTATTTAACTTGCTCCAAAGCAATAATCTAATAAAAATACTGTTTTTGGATATACTTTATGGACATGTCTAACCAAAATTTTCGGACGCATATCTGTACAGTGTACAATAACACCCTATCCAAGTGCATATGCTCAACATGTCTTTTTGAAGAGTCCATGTAACATGGGTTGTAACTAGATTGATAACAGGGATTTGAAATAATTGTTGAGAACATAGTACTAATTCAAGTAGAAAGCCTTGCTGTGTGATAGTATAGATATATTTTTTTTGATAAGTAAAATGTATTAGAAAACGTTCAAAAGGGGAACCCATCCCAAGAGCTGTACACAAAAGAAAGTGGAAACTATGGACTCAAAGAGCCCAAAAAGTCCACAATATCCTCAATAGATGAATAGTTTCTCCCCCATCCTCAACAAAAAAGGGTACAAATAATAGAAAGTTTCAACGCCCCAATGGAGGACTCCTTCCAATCAAAAGATCTTCTATTCCGCTCTTTCCAAAGGCTCCACCAAACACAAAAGGGGGCCACCCTCCAAAAATCTCTAACATGCGCCCCCACCCATTGGCCCCTCTAGATGTCCATCAACTCCCTAGAGGTCCGTTGCATGACCTAATGGACACCAAACAGACCAAAAATAAGACTCCAACAGTCATGGGCCACACGACAATGCAGTAGAAGGTGATCCATGGACTTTCCATCAATCATACAAAGACAGCATCGATTGGCAATGATATGTCTTCTCTTCCTCAAATTGTCCAAAGTCAGAATCTTACCCCAAGCTGCGGTCCACACAAAAAAGGCCACCCTAAGAGGCGCCTTTGACAGCCACACCGTCTTCCATGGGAAGGTGGTACCGTGAAACCCAGAGAGACACACAAAGAAGGACCGGACCTGAAACATCTCCTGCGCAGAAGGAACCCAAGTCAAGGAATCCACACCAGTGCCTTCCATCTCCTGTCTATACAAGAGAGCCAACAAACTTGTGACATTATTCAACTCCTAATCCTGAAAGGATCGCCGGAACCGTACATCCCAAGACAACTTACCGCTATCAAGGCGATAGCAGTCAGCAACCATAGCATGTTTGTCAATAGCAATCCTGAACAGCCTTGGGAACAAAAGAGACAATAGGCTATCCTCGCACCAGGTATCCTCCCAAAACCAGATATCCCTTCCATCCCGAACTCTGAATCTAATATGTTTGGAGAACTCGTCCCATCCCTTCCCAATGGATCTCCACACCCTCACTCCGCCAGCAGACCTGACTGGCCTAGCTGACCACCCCCCTCTCTCCTCCCCAAAGCGACAAGAGATGACCTTCATCCATAATCTATGTCTTTCATTGCTGAACCTCCAAAGCCACTTTCCAAGAAGAGCATCGTTGAAAGGGCCAATCTCCTTACCCAAGCCCTCCCAACTAAAAAGGCCTGCAAACCTGCTCCCACCAGACAAGATGGTACTTAAACTCCTCCCCTCTACCCCCCCAAAGAAAGTTCCGCTGAAGCATCTCAAGTCTTCTAACAATAGAGGCTGGAATCCAAAAAAGCGAAAGAAAGTACGTTGGGAGGCTTGACAAAGCACTCTTCACTAGAGTAACTTTACCACCCTTGGAGAGATATTGCTTTTTCCATCCAGCCAATCTTCTCTCAAACTGTTCAATCACCAGGTCTCAACTTCCCACCCTCCTAGCTGAGTCACCCAGCGGCAAACCGAAGTACGAAATAGGGAAACGTCGCGTCCCACACCCTAAAACAACAGCCAGAGTATCCACCTCCTAAACCTCCCCCATAGGGACAAGCACACTCTTTCCCACGTTGACTTTCAAACTAGAAACAGCCTGAAAATAAACCAGGACACATCTCAAATACCGCAACTGGGACACCTCAGCCTCACAGAAAACAAGAGTGTCATCCGCAAAAAGCAGGTGAGAAATCTCCATCTACTGGACCGAGTCAGGGCCAATCTTGAAGCCCCTAATGAATCCCAAATCCACAGCCGTTCTCATCAACCTATTAAGGGCCTCCATAACAATAATGAACAGGAAAGGGGAGAGAGGGTCCCCCTGCCTCAGACCACGAGAACTACCGAAAAACCCGGTAGGAGACCCATTAACCAACACCAAAAATCTGATAGAGGAAACACATTTGACAATCCATTTCCTCCATCTCTCTCCAAAGCCCATCCTCTCTAAAAGATAAAATAGGAAATTCCAGCAGACATGATCATAAGCTTTCTTGATATCCAGCTTACACAGAACACCAGGAACACCACTACAAAGTCTAGAATCCACACATTCACCGGCAATGAGAGTGGAATCCAGGATCTGTCTACCCCCAGTGAATGCATTCTGAGACTTAGAAATGACTCCATCCTGAACCTCCCTCAATCTAAGTGCAAGGACTTTAGTGATGAGCTTATACTGTTATACATACACCCAATCACAGGGGCGGAGCCAGGATTGCAAAGTAGGGAGGGCTAAAAATAATTAAACCCATGATTGCTTAGTGTGTCATCCATACTCTAAATATATAATTATCATGCATCAGTTATTCAATTAAACCTAATAATCTACAACTTTCTAACACATTTACACTTTCAAACTTTAACGTATTTTTACAATCAAGAATCCATTGAAGTTTGCTTCATACAAGTATTAAAACAAACAACTACAAGAATGCAAGATATATATGTTCCTTATCAATAAATTCACATTAGAAAGTAATACCTATGTGCTCCGCCCTTGACTAGTTATTAATCCATGATATAGTAAATTACCCAATTTAACAAGAAATTATCAAGTCATCAACAAAGTCCTTTTTTTAAATTTTTTTTTTATATATATACAAAAATAAAATTCAATATTTCACTGGATTAACAATAATAATCCGTGATATCCATCTACTTATGCCTTAGTGCCTTACACACGAAGAGTTTAGGTCTTCTTCGATAGACTAACAATGTGTTTTGATTTACTGGGTTGGGCCCTATTATAATTTATTATGGTTTATTTTGTGATTGGGCATGTCTATGGTTCGTGGGCTTGCTCATATTTAAGGTTTGACCTTTGTAAATTGTATAACTCTTTTTATTTATAGAAATACTATGGATTGGGTTGGGCTGATAGGAAGAGGAAGAGTAGTACACGGGCTTATAAGAACAATAGTACTAAATTTTTTTTTTCAATTGGACCTGGGCTATAGCCCAGGTTAGCCCATTACTAGTTCCTCCCTTGCCCAAGCAGACTGATTGGTCTAAAGTCCTTGACGTTAGAAGCACCGCCCTTCTTAGGAATAAGGGCAATAAAAGATAAATTCAACGATTTTTCGAACCTCCGCGTAGAATGAAACTCATGAAAAGTGCCCATAACCTCGTATCTAACCACCTCCCAGCTCTTCAACAAAAATCTCGTAGTAAAGCCCTCTTGCCTGGAGCCTTGTCTCCATTACAGCTCTTCAGAGCCTTCAGCACCTCCTCCTCTGAAAAAGGACTCTCCAACCCATCCCTTTCCACTTCAGAAATGGAATCAAAGTGAAGACCATCGAGCCGTGACCTCCATCGAAGAGGCTCAGAATAGAGCCTTTGATAGTAAGAGACAATACCGCTTCGCACCTCCTTCTCCATAGTCAAAACCGTACCATCCACACACATCTTCTTAATATGGTTGTCCCTCTTTATGAGCATTAGCAGTTCTATGAAAAAAACTTGGTATTACAGTCTCCCTCTTTGAGCCACAAGGCCCCAGATTTCTGACGCCATGAGATTTCCTCCAAAATAGCAATCTCAACACATTCTGCCTGACAAGCTGCTCTCCTAATCCGTTGAGGCTCGAGAAGGATACCCTCCCCTTCCAATCTATCAATCTCAGCAATATCAACCAAGGCCCTATTCTTCCTCCACTCCAAATTCCCAAACAACTCCTTATTCCACCTTTTAAGTTTATTTTTCAGAAGTCGAAGCTTTCCTACTAAAATGAAACTCGACGTACCCACCACCAGATCCTCCTCCCACCAAGAATACACAGTCCCCTGGAAATTCTCCGCTTGAAGCCACATGTTCTCAAATCTGAAAGGAGTGTAATGAGAGCTCAAACCTCCATAGTCCAAAACCAAAGGGATATAGTCTGAAGTCACCCTAGCCAACACAGTTTGGACAGTGTCCGGAAACTTCTCCTCCCAATCTCCAGAAACCAAGAACTAATCAAGACGAGAAAGGGTTGGCGCTTCCCTTCCACTGGACCAAGTAAAGGACGCTCCCTCTAAAGGAAGATCAAGAAGCAGATGACCATCAATAAAATCTGAAAAGAGCATCATAGCTTGAGTCCATGGACCACCTGTAGATCTCTCCGCCGGGGATCTAACCACATTGAAATTTCCGGCCACACACCAAGGAAGAGATCACCTCCCCTTCACCCCACTCAACTCCTCCCACAACCCATCCCTCTCGCAGTCATCAACCGGCCTGTACACCCCAGAAAAAGCCCAAGTAAAACCATAGTCATCCATCACATAGGCACAAGACAGAGAAAATCGCCCCCTACAGACATCCACCTTAGCCATCCATCTCCTATCCCACATAAGAAGAACACTGCCAGATGTCCCAACAGAATCCAGCGCCTTCCACTCAACAAACCGATTACCCCACAAGCTCTTAACCACACTATCAGTCATAGAATCAATCTTCGTTTCTTGAAGGCACATCAAATGAACCCCCCTTTTCCTCACAGCCATCTTCACCACCTTTCGCTTGCCCGGATCATTGAGACCACGGACATTCCAAGATAAAAGTCGTAGCTTCATGAGGAAACATGCACACCCATCTCCCCCTTACCCCTCCCTCCCCCCTTATCACTGCCCCTCTCCTCCCCCCCAAGCATCCTATCATAGTTCACATCTGAACAAAGATTCCTCAGCTCCCTCTCCCCTCTCCAAGAAGTAAGGATCTTCTTCTTCCTGCTCCTCCTCCTAGAAAACTGAATCATCTCCCCTTCTCTCCCCTCCACCGTATAGATTTGATTTCTTCCAACCAAGCATGAGAAGCAGCAATGCCAAGAAATACACTAAGAATTTCAGTTATGTATATACACATACGTCCACATGAATTTACCATATCAAGCACTTTTGTAATTATCAAATCAAAATTTCCAATTTCATTACAGTACTTAAACTAGTCTTATGATTCGAAAAGATATTAACGTAAAAAATCATCATCACAAACTAAAACACATAAGCAACAATTTTAAACCCTAACTTAAGAATATAATATTTACTTTCTTTTGATGTTCTAAATAACCCGGTAGTCTTCTAATCTTCCTTGTTCTCTCTTCTGGGGTTTATCTTGAACCCTAAAGAAATATTTATTATTTGGTTTAGGACATATGACCCTAAATAGTATTTCATTTTGATTATTTTATTTTATTTTATTTTAGATTGAGATCCAGTATGGTGCAAGTGCATGGTATGGCATTTGCATGCTAGTAAAAGTTTTAAATTTGGTATGTTCACTTTTAGTCATTACAATCTACTTTCCTAAAAAGGAATTTTGTCCTCAAAATTGATAGTTCCAAGCATTGCCTATTGTAGATTTTAAGAGGTCCTAAATATTATTACCAACTTAAGTTTTAAAAGGATAAAAGAATATTAGTATTTGGTAGCTAAATTGTCATACCATGAATAATTTGAAAGCCAAGTGAAAACTGTGAAATCTAATGGTCACTTTTCTGTGTGTGGTTGGCACTAAGCTCCTTCTTTTTCTGTTTTGATACATAGATGAGGTTCTGTGGTGCATTCTTTTCACTAATGACATGACCGTTTGTTAGTCAAACGGGATATGGTGCTCTATCATGGCTGTGTCATATATGTGTGTGGCTCTTCCTTATGAAGCAGTAGCCAGTAAAGTTGATTTATTTGCTTTATCTGTGATCAGAAAGATCTAGGATATTCCACGGATTAAAGTTTATGTGAACAAATGTGCATGCATGCATGTAAATATATCTCCGTGTATCTAACTGTATGTGATGATCTAAATGTGTGAATATTCTCGAACCTTCCAGAAACTCAGAATCACTGTAAGATGGTTGTTTGTTCTATTAGGTTTTGTAATGTATTTTTTGATAATTTGATGTAATTGATTTTGTATTTAAAAGGAATGAACCACAAAAACCTAGCTAATTTTTTAGTGTATGAAGGTGGTAGTTAAAAGATCACAAAATGAGATTTGTTAACTTGGCATACTAACTGTACTTTAATTTATCCAGAGAATTCTCAGCTAGCAAGTGCAAGGTTTCAGGCTGCTGCAGCAATCCGAAATGCAGCTATTAGAGAATGGGTGTTCCTTACAGCTGATGACAAGAGAAGCTTGATTAGGTAACCTTACAAGTTGGAAGTCCGTATCAGTGTCATTCATAGTGGCAGAATATTGCTATTATTATCAACATTAGTGCATGAGTGCATTTCCTTTTTACATATGTTGGAATATCCTCTTCTATTACGAACTATTATTCATGATACATGGGATTTCTTCATTTTTTTTTTTTCTTTCTACATAAGCATGTAATCGTTTACTGTATAAATGAATGTATGTTTTTTGCAGCTTTTGTTTGTGCTATGTTATGCAACATGCCAGTTCACCTGAGCGCTATGTCCAAGCAAAAGTTTCTTCAGTGGCTGCTCAATTGATGAAAAGGGGCTGGTATGTTGCGCATAATTTTGATCTTAATCAACTTAACATGCAAAAAATGCATATGCAATACTCTGTGCTTAACTGCTGTGGTATATGTGACATTGCTGCTATATATGACCTTGACATGCTATTTCTTTAAGTGAATATATAAAGAATAGGCACATGATGAACAGGTGTTTTTACAAACACCTTTTGCATGTTTGGCCAACACTGACTCTAGCATTGTCAATTCACATCAAACAAAGAAAACAAGGGACACCATATAATCCATGCTGCAGAACAATTTAACAGAAGACTACAGTCTCCGTAGCTTTCTTACACATGCAGCACCCATCGACCAATGGTAACTCCTCCTCTCAGGTTATAGATCTCCAAGATAGCATTATAGATTGTTGTTAAAGCAAAAAGAGCCACTTCTAGAGGGGCTCTAGTTTACCAAACTGCTTTCCAGGGGAAATTCGGCATAGCTCCTCTAAAAAGCACCTTATAGAACAATCTCACATAAAGGACATATCGTTCGAAACACTCACTTAACCAAACCCTACATTGTCGTCCACCCTCCAACCTTTGTAGATGCCTCCAACAAAGTCGTGACTGAATTAATTTTCCAATCCTGGAATGCCCACGGAGAGAACCTACCCTTCATAACGCTCTTTCAGAGGCCCATGGAACATCACATCTCCTTTTCTCCCCCCATCCAGCGGGGGGGGGGGGGGGGGGGGGGGGGGGTAAATAATTTCCATTTTCTTGTTCAACTCAAGATTATATCTCAACGTCAACTTGCCTGACAAGTCTCGATTAAATATTCTTTTTGATACCCAACTTTCCAACCTTTAAAGGCATGCATACTCTGGCCTATCTCCAGCCTCCACCTGGTGATATTTCTTTGAGGCAACCCCTAAACAAATTCATATGAAGCCTCTCTAGTTCTTGTCTACTGATGTTAGAATGGTAAAAAGAGATATAAATTAGGTCAAAGACTCAAAAACATAATCTTAGTATGACTTTCAGGGATCTGTAAGATCCTTTATGATTGTTGCACCAGAAAGCCGTTGTGTAGGGCCTCTTGGAGCTGTCAAAGATCAATCACAATGATTGCAGTTTCTGTCTAACCTGGCCTGAAAGCAGATGAGGATGCATCTCCTGTCTCTTCACATAAAAGGTTGGACAATACCAAATGATTTTCCCCGACAGCTCCTCTCTGGAAAGCTCTTAGCATACCACTCATTTACCTTGTCATTATATGGCTTAAGGTCTCCAAGATAACAAGCAGAAAGGACAGCGAGGGTCCCTTCACGGACTGCTGAAGTGACTTGCCGGTGTTCCGATGATTGAACAGAGAACTTCAATGTGTAAATGGAAAACTCAATCCTTTCTGACAATTTCTTCCAGAAGCCCATAATCTTCACGATGTACAGAACAAACCCCTCTTTGTTTGAGAGACACTAGTATTTTATTCAGATTTGACATAAAAGTCTTTGTTTTGAGGTAGGTGCTGAACTAAGACTGTTACGTTCTTTTCACTTTTTCTTTCTGATAAATGCAAAGTGTTAGCTGTTATCAGGCACTATTACATTCCATTTCACGTTGTGCATGGAATTAAAAGATTACTGCTCTCTTGAGACACTAGATCATTAATGAGTCATGTGTAAGCAACTATTGAAATCAGAATCAACAAAATTGGACACTGATTATTTTCTTCTTCCTCTGTGTGTGTGTGTGTTTTTTTTTTTTTTTTAGAAGAAAAAACTTCAGTTTCTCTTCTGCATAGTTCATTTCAATATTTAAATCAATTTGCGTGCTTTATTACGTATTATTTTTTTCAATGGCAGCATATGCAACCCATGCATCAGCTGCAAAAGCTATTTATGATTCCCAAATATGTAGTCTAATGCAGCATGTATAAGGGTTTCAATACTTATACGAACTCACAACTAACACATCAGATCATGAAACTTATTTTAATTGAAATTGCATAGCCTTATCTCCAGGAGAGTTTGAGAAATGGGTCAAACTTGCCTAATGAATTATGACTCTGAATAAAAAGAAATTCCCAAATTTAAACAAAGCAAGCTTATGGAGTAGTTGAATAAGGAATCCAGCTAGAAGAGTTGTGTCATGTCATAAAGTAGCTTAACCATGTCAGAACTTTAATAAATCGTAAAGTTAATTCATACATACTACGATTTAATTACCAGATAGTTTGTCTTCGTTTCAATATATACAATATTTTCTGACATGGCAGAAACCTATGTAATTTTTTTCTTCCTGGGTAGAAACCTATGTAAATTGTGACCTTTATGTCTTGGCTAGGTTTGAGGAACTCCTCGTGTGGTTTCTTTTGTTATTTCAACGCATATGAGAGGACTTCTAATGGCCTGTGTTGCATTCTTTGCCTATTATTATAGTAACAAGTTACATATCAACTCATTGCTTGCATGGAATCCTAGTTAGCAGCTCAAACAAAATTGGAAAACCTTGTAGTTATTTCTGCTTGAATGTCCTTTATGTAGGCTAGAGTTTACAACTGCTGAGAAGGAGGCATTTTTCTATGAGGTATATATATTATCACTCCAAATATACTTGAACAATTTTTTTTTGAACTTTATAGTACTGTTCCTTCTTTTGCAGTAACTTCTTTCTGTGGCTTATACATAAGTAATCGTGTTTCTTTTATATTATTTGTTAATGTAGCATCGTTTTGCAGAATATTTATACATGCATGCTTACAGACATAAGCATAAAGGCTTAACCCTCCTTCCCCTACTTTTTCCGTTTCATCTCAGTTAGTTTTGTGAATCACGTTTAACATCTACACATCTTTTCTTGATATTCCTTTTTATTTTATTTTGGACCAATGAATTTGCATTTATAGCATATGAGTAGTTACTAGTTAGATAGATTAATATGAATGAAGAGAACATCATCTGATACAATTTTTTGTCTAATTGTTTGTTCTACTTTCCTTCTTGTATTATGGACAATATGCTGTGAATATTTGGAAAATATTACAAGAGAATGGAAATCCAGATACAAGGATCAATGTAGTCATACGGCAAGATTCTAATTTGAACTTGCATACCCCCTCACCAAAAAAAGAAAAGAAAAAGAAAGTTTGATGTATTTGGCAATTTAATTGTGGGATATAGAAAGAGGTGCCATGATGGACTTTTTAAAATGAACTTCTTATGATCCATATCATTTTCCCTCAGTTGGAGAATCTGAGAAATATGCTCGGTTTTGAAAATGAAGTGTTTGAAGTTTTCCAAATTCAGAAATCTATTTTTAGCTGGAGATAAAAACTCTGAAGTTGCATAATGTCTGGCTTCACTTCTCAGTGGTAGCAATACTAATTTCAATATTCCCTTCTCGATTATTTTGGTGAGTTTGTCAGGAATAATGAAATCAATGGTAGGAGCACTTTCTGTAGCATTAACGTTCTTCCATAAATCTGGAGTAGAACTTTGAAGTTCTCTCTCTCTCTCTCTCTCTCCTCTTCAAGTAAGACCACTTGATCTAAAGGCTCTGTGATCTTACCTTGATCATATATTGCATTGTTCCACCTCTTTTTAAATTGTTTTTGGCTACAAGAAGTCATGGGTTTTTGATTCTTTATTCTTTATTTGGTGACACTTCTTCTTTCTCTTCAGCTTTGAGCTCTTCAAGAATAGTTTAACAGCTTGTTGAGGTGCATTTGATACAACAACTGAATCTCACTTTTCCTTGATAATTTGATCATCCACCACTTCAGAGTCCCATGGTTTTAAGTAGTGGACGCTGCAGCAGATAAGGGTTCAGGTGTAATGGGTGTTACCTAACTGTATCAGAAATCGTGGTCTTGAAATTTTCTTGGCCTTGCCCACCATTAGATGTGCTGCTTCTGACCCGATGGAGTCCCTAGGGACTTGGGTTAGACTCGGCCAATTCCCATGGAACTTGAATGAGATTGATGTGATTCCAATTCCCGCCAATATATCGATGAGTATAAGGCTCAGACCTGTCCGATACAGAGAGACTCGGTTGAGTCTGTCTCAAATCATGGTTTCAACCCTTACCTATCAACAAAGCCTTGAACCTCCTTCCTACCTTTTAGAACCCTGAATCTACATGTTAGGCAGCTAATTGCATTTCTTATAAAGCTGTCCTACTTTACCAACCCTTACCCTACCCTTTTGGACTCTAATTTAGGACTCCAAAGCCCATAATTTTTTTTGATAAGCCCTAAGCCCATAATTAACTATTGTTACGAATTTCTAGACACCAATTCTCTGTAGTTTCCACAAACGATCACTTTGACAAGTGTGTCAATTCCAATGCCCTTGCATCCATAACCCAATACATCCCCCTTTATTCCACCTTTTCAAACACGAAAGGTACAAGTTTTCTATAATCACATTCCCCCATAAACCAGTGCAGGCTACATTGATTTTTCTAGTGCGATCCTACATCCATAAGTGTAACAGAATACCTGTTACTCATGGAAAATAGTGGTGTCATTAATTTTTTTGGGACAGATTAAAGTTAACTTTAATGTTCATTTCTTGTTGATTTTTCAACATCTTTCTCATTTTTAAAACATATGTAACCCTTTCAATTTACTTGTTTTTGAGTCTACATTTTGTCTAAGGCTTCATGTGAGCTTCTCTTTAGTATTTTCTTTAAGTTTCTAATAGTTCTACACCCACAGGTTAAACGAGCTGTTTCTGGAAGCCATGGACTAGATGTGCAGTACAGTGGAATCAATTTCCTAGAATCATTGGTAATATCACACAAAATGATTATTACTTCATATGAATTCCAGTTCTTGGCTGTTTTCTTCTTTAGCTTTTACATCTGGGCAACCAAATTTTGTGACCAAGAATCGTCCTTCCAGGTTTCCGAATTTTCACCCTCTACTTCAACTGCTATGGGCCTTCCTAGAGAGTTTCATGAGCAGTGCCAGAAATCATTGGAGTTAGACTATTTGAAGGTCTTCTAATTTCCATTGGCATTTTGTCTGCTATTTGTTTTCTTTTTATTTCAATTGTCGCTTTTCCCTTGTAGTATTTATTGTAGTATTGGGCCAATCTTTTGTCTTTTTTTTTTTTTTCTCTCTTGTAAACACAATTATTGTTTCCATCTCTCATTCAAGGTTCTAATATCTTTCAATTCAGACATTCTACCGTTGGGCACAAGATGCTGCTGTAAGTGTCACAAATAGAATAATTGAATCTAATTCTGCTGTACCTGAGGTTAATGTGTGTTCGGTGGCACTACGTCTCATGCTTCAAATCCTGAACTGGGACTTTCGGTATAATAAAAATGCAATTGAGGGTGCCAAAAATGGGACGAATGTTTTTTCTGCTGCAATTAGACATGACAGTGCCTCAGCCAAGAAGTCTGATTGTGTACTAGTGCAGGTAACAAACATCTCTTTCTTAATCTGTTTCATGCACATATATATACTACATATAATGACATACCAGTGAATAGAACATGTTAGAGTAAATCAAAGTCTGTACATTTGGTTACTTCATTCTCCCAGCTGATGACACTTTATCTTGTTTCAATTTTCCTGACATTTGTTTTCAAAATTAAAGATACTTTACGGGAAAAAAACTCAATTCTAATAAAGGAATAATCTCGTTTTTGTTACTACTTCTATTGAAGAAATTGATTTATCTTAAAAAATCCTTCTTTCACATAACATGTGTATATATCATTTAAGATGTCATTAATAGAATTTTACTCCCTTATCTTTTACTGGCTGGCCATGATAAATTTCCTAACAGTCTATAATTCTCTCTTTATGCTGCTTGTAGCCTGGTTCTTCTTGGCGTGATGTTCTGATTTTTGGTGGTCACATTGGCTGGCTTTTGAGCTTATATGGTGCGTTGAGACAGAAGTTTTCATGTGAAGGTTACTGGCTTGACTGCCCTATTGCAGTCTCTGCTCGAAAACTTATCGTACAGTTCTGCTCCTTGACAGGAACCATATTTCCATCTGGTATGTGTTTCTCTTCTACCTGCTTCTTAATAGTCAGTTTGTTTGATCTCATGCCTTGTTTGTTAGCACTTCATTCTTGCTATAGTTGCTTTCATATGAACAATATATTATCTTAAAATGGAAATAATCAAATGGTGGCTGTGTTTATTGAATAGTGTATTTTATTATATATTTTTTTGAACCATATTTCCATCTGTTACAAATGTTTCTCTTCTACCTGCTTCTTAATAGTCAGTTTGTTTGATCACATGCCTTGTTTGTTAGCACTTGATTCTTGCTATAGATGTATTGTTATTGCTTTCATATGAACAAGATATTATGTTAAAATGGAAATAATCAAATGGTGGCTGTGTTTGATTGAATAGTGTATATTTTTACAAATTTTTTTTTTTTTTTTTTGCACCTGTAATTTAGCAGTCTTTGATCACCAAAATGTGCAATATGTGTTCGAAAGAAAAATGTATCCTTTTCATTCTCAACCAGTCTGATTTTCTCATTCACTTTTTTGTTTGCCCCTTTTGACTCTCAATGTCTCATCAACTCATTAAATGCATTCCGAATGTTATTTTGTTTATTATTATTATTATCTATTATTTATTTTTCATTTTTCATTTTCACTTTTGGTATCATCTTCAAAATCACTTAAAGAGATTGATTGAGTCTTGCCTATTGTCATGTTAGATGTGTCTGGTATGGCAACAAGAGCAACTTAAGCATCAATTTCATCAGCCATCTTTCCCCCAAAAAAAAAAAAAAAAATCACCAGTCTTTGAGAACAATTACTGTTGGGAGATGAGGATGAACCACTGGTTTATCCTTGTCTTTTCATGATGAGCAGTTGGGGATCTAAAACAAGACTGCAGGGGTCTTCTAGTGTTAGTTTATACTTATAGAACTATGGATCTCTGTTTGGTATTTGGTGTGGTGCTGTAGCAGTTTTCTTTTATTTCTTTTCCTCATTTCTGGTTATTTGAAATGGTCTTACTCTATTACTTTTGTAATGTGAGGGACACTCTGTTGTTGTACTGTTTTGTCTTCGTAATAGAAGCTTGCTTGTTTGTGTGTGTGTGTGTTGTTGTTGGGGGGGGAGACACTACTGTTGGGATCAAATGAATTATATAGTGTTCCAGTCATTACTCTTGATGCTCCTTTTCAGTTATTTTTTCTCTTTCCAGGTCAATTGTATGCCATATGACCTTTTTGTTAGAATTCCAACATATTATTTCATTTGTTTGATGACCGACGTTCTTATTTTTCTCTGATGATGTTTTCTTAAATTTTGAAGAATTTCTTTTTGGGTAAGGTGCAAAAAACTACCCTGTTATGTAAAAAATGTGCACAAACCACCCCTCCTGTTTAGTATGAGCAGATAACCTCTAACATTTGAAAACTATGTGCAAATTGCTCCCTAATATCTGTTGACTGTCAATTTTGACCCAAAAAATTCATAAAACCCCAAAATACCCCTAATAAACTCTCTCTCTCTCTCAAATTTTTCTCTCCGTTCTCTCTCTGTTCATGCCTGAAATATAGAACATCTCTCTTTTAATAGCGAAAATGATTTTCATCAAGATTAATCAATATAAACCATATCAAACTGCAGGCATTACCTCTTTCTTCATTCAGCATTAGTCTTCTCCAGAAAAATTCCTCAAACCTATGATGGCATTAAGGTCAGTACTTATCCTCCATCGATTACCCACCTCTGTAATGACACTAAAGATTCAATAACCATCTCTCTCTCTCTCTCGCTATATATATATATATATATATATATATTAATATTATGTGTGTGTGTGTGTGACAGTGTGCCTGCAAGTATTAATAATACCTAATCAAAAATGAGAGAGAGGGGGGACTGAATCAAATTCAACATTACGTATTAAAAAAAAATCAATATTGTCAATATATTAGTCATATTTCGGTTTTCCAAAGCAAAACCAGATCAAGAATACGGAACAAATTGAATCAATTCAACATTGACAAATTAATCATTTGTGTGTGTGTGTGTGTGTGTGTGTGTGTGTATGTATAGATATATACTAACATGGAATATCATAACATGAAAGTATCAATTTCCAGTTCTTTGTGGTGGGTTTTGGGAGATCAATTCTCAGGTTTTTGAATTCAATTTTATGAACTAAGAGTGGTATCTCTACTTGCATTAGTTTATGTGATTTAATTGTAGAGAAATTATAAGAGAGAGTGTAAGAGGTGAGAGATGGGTTTATAAGAGAGAGAGAGAGAGAGAGAGACAGAGACAGAGAGAGAAAAGGAGATGCTGAAGAAAGGGAAAGAGATGCTGTTGAGAGAGAGGAGAGGTGAGAGATGTTTTGGGTGTTTTTTTGTTTTATTTCGCCTTAAGGGCATTGTAGGTATTTCAGTCTTCAAATTGAGAAAATATCCTTATTTGCTCAGTTTGGAAATGTAGGGGGGTTTTCGCACATTTTTGTACTAGTATATAACATGGTTTTTGATTTTGCAGTTTATCCTTCTTTTTTTTTGAAATTTTCGTAATTCTTATTCATTTTTTAGAAGTTTCGTAACTTTCTTGTAAAAGAGCTATTTCTTCATCTTCAGTGTCGCTTTCACTAACTAACAACGTTACATTAAGGAATTTTTTTCCTATTATGTTATGGCTGCTATTTACTATATCATTAGTTTTTCCATAGAACTCATCAAAGGTTTCCTTTTTTTGGTTTCACTGCGCTAAAGATTGGGTTCAAGCCTTCAGAAATCACACTACAACCTTGGTTTTACCTCATAGTCGCTTTTACCTCATTTAGTTCTTGGTTTTATTCATTTTCCCCATCAACAATTTTAGTTGATTGCGGCCATCCCATTTCAATAACGTACCATTTTTTTGTCATCAAGAGAAAACCACCGCCATTCTTCGTTTTGGTAATATAATTAGTTCCTAAGAAGCACGGACATGAATACGGGACACGGATACGACACGACACGACACGGACACGGCGACACGGCAAATTCAAAAAAATTAGGACACGGACAGAGACACGGACACGGCAAGGACACGACGAATAGTATATATATATATATATGATGTAGTACTTTAAAAATTACCGAGTGTTACTATTTTTCATCAACCTCATAATGAAAAAAATACACAAATTATAACTCATCTACTGTAATAGTGTAATGACTAGCCCTTAAATATCTATTTGTTTTGTCTAAAATTGCATATTAACCTCACAAGTTTAAAATTACTATGTACTGACCACATAAGTGAGTAAAAGTTGTTAAATAACTTCACATATTTATACTTTAACCCAATTTTTTTTCAAAAAATATTTTTTAGACGCCCGAAAATAAGACACGCGTATCGGACACACACCCCTGGTGTGTCGGACTCGTGTTCGCGGAGTGTCCATGCCGTGTCCGAAAATTAAAAAAAATAAAAAATTCCAGACACGTTTTTTGGCGTGTCCGACACGTGTCGGGGTGTGTCTGACGCGTGTCGGTGTCCAACACGTGTCGGACACGGATTCTTTGCCCATTTTGGCGTGTCCGTGCTTCCTAGATTAGTTCCATCATATAGAACAAGTAATGATCCGTATTCTTTAAGCGTTTTTATGATCTAACTCAATATGTTGAGCAAAGCTCTATGAAAACTACTTCGATCAATCTCCTTTATGTGTTTTGGTTAGAGCGTCTTATTGAGCGTTCGATGGGTTCGATCAAAGCAACTCCATCAGCCATTGATTGGTAAGCCCAGCAAGTTCGTTCAATCATAACTTTCTGGACCCTGTTCGACGTTTGATTGATCCTAACATCGATCTCCGCCTTCTGGTTTTCCAATAAAATCCTGTTTAAAACTTCTATTAATCCATTAAGAGTTCAATTTCTGGATATCCTTATTTTTTAAATATCTGTTTAACTTCAATACGAGCGTTTTAACACTCCAACCTAGGTCATGGGAGGTCCAAATATCTAATAAATTAATTCAACCTAGATTCCTATGTTTGCTATGGTCTTATTTTACCTTAACCTAGATATATGATTGAACTTTGTTACAACAAACCATGCGAACCAGGAACAAACCAAGAATCACAACAGAAAAGTAAGCACACCACACACAAAGAACACAAAGATTTACATGGTTGGGCAAGGCCTACCTCCACGGTGAAGATCTTGCGAAAGATTTTACTATGCGAAAAATAGGAGATTACAAGTTTCAGCCCCAAAACCCTAGCTCTTGCTCTCTCTCCTGCATTTTTCAATGTTCTCTCGCTATCTCACTCTAAACCTTCAACACCCTTATATACCAGACTACAAGAGAGTCCTAAACAGGGTCCACAATCAGCAACGCGACTTGGGCTGAAACAAAATTCGGGCCCAACATCACAAACTTGATAAATTTCGGTATATTCTTCGTCTTCATCATGTTCAATATCTTCTTCAGTTGTAGACCAACTGAGTCAAGACATTTTGTCTTACAACCCTAGTTTTGTGTAGGAATATACTCAATATCCTAATACTGTTGTTCTTTTATGTGCGTAATATTATTTGAAGCCCCCTTCCATAGGCAGAGTGAACATAATTTTGATGGTTGTTCTCTAGGCAATCCGGGGGAAATGGGAATTGGAGGTATTTTCAGAGATGCTATGGGGAGCTCTATCATACTCTGTTGGACCAGCTGGATGCCGGTTTCACAATCTTAGGTCTTTTGTATGGTCTCATGCCTTTATGGGTATGATGGACTGCCTAATAGAGCTTAATACCGTGGTGGTTATTGATTGGATGTGATCTTTATCTCCAGTTATATGTCATTATGGTTGATCCATTGGAGATTCTAGACATTTTCACAGCTCTTTAGTCCAGAAGATAAATTCCTAGATCTGCCAATGATCAGGCTGATTACTTGGCCAAGAAGGGAGAGGTCAGTTTTACCTAGTTGAGTTTGACTTTAGGGAGCTTTGCTATGTGGTGTTTGCTGTGGTGAATAGTGGTCATGGGGCTTTATAGTTTATATTGTTCTACCTATTCTGGTCTGTTCTTTTTTACCTAACCTGAAGGATTTGTCATCCTTCTAAGCCTTTTTATCTTTCTTTCTCCCTACTCCTATTTCTTGTTTCTTATAATTACTAATTTATTTTAAATCTAGATAATGGGCATATGCAAGAGCAGCACCTTCGGCAACTGCTATGTGGAATTATTCAGTGGATTGACCCTCCTCATGCTATTTCAAAAGCAATTGAATGTGGAAAAAGTGAAAGGTTATATTCCTGTAGTCCCAACCCTCTTTCCGTGTTACTTGTCCTTTGATGTCTTACCTGTTATTTTTTTCTGTTCAGTGAGATGCTTGATGGTTGCCGTGCACTTCTATCAATAGCAACTGTAACTAATCCCCTTGTGTTTGACCAACTCTTGAAATCTATAAGGTCAGCTTTGTAATATTCTATTGTGGCCCATAAATATATATTTTTTAATTTAATGTTTTTTGTTAATAAGAGTTGTATTCGTACTTTAATGTCCCTTTATGACATAATTTATTCTGTTCACAATTTTACACAAGTTAACTTTTTACCTTGATGTTCAGCCCTTTTGGCACTCTTAGCCTATTGTCTGGCTTGATGTGTGAAGTTATAAAAGTTCTTATGGAAAATTACACTGAAGAGGAGACATGGAGTTGGGTGGCACGTGATGTTTTATTAGATACCTGGACGGCACTTCTTGTGGTATATGTTCCATTATTTACTTTTCAGTTTCTTGTCACATGCCCTTCATTTATCTGTATCTTTGGAAAGAATTATAGGGTAGCTTGATGGTTATATTTTTCCAAATCCTCATTCTGCATTAGAAGCATTTTATTATGGGCAAGTGTTATCAAGTATTAATGGTGTAAGATGAGGTTTGAACAATATGACAGTATTTTGTCAAGTACATTTTTCTTCCTCTACTTGTTCAATAGCAGCTCATAAACTCAAACTTTTGCCATTCATCCGCAGCCATTGTGTACTACTGGTAAAAATACATTACTCCCACCAGAAGGGATAAATGCGGCAGCCAATCTCTTTGCCTTGATTGTAGAGTCTGAATTAAAAGGTAACTCTGATGTTTGCACTCTATTTGCTTTTCTGTTACTTCTTTAAGGATTATTATTCTTTATTAATTCTTAACATTACTTTATAATATAGCTGCATCTGCCTCAGTGTCCAGTGATGATAATGACTTTGAATACTTTCAGGCTTCTGTAGCTGGTAGGCAATTGAATCTATCTTCTTTGTTGCATCAGCATCACTGAAATCCTCATAATCTTCGTCATATTTTAAAATGTTGATTTTCTTTAATGTTTTATATTATCTATGTCATCTTTGCAGCCATGGATGAAAGGTTAAGCTCTTATGCTCTTATTGCAAGAGCAGCTATTGATGTCGCAATTCCGTTACTCACGAGATTGTTTTCTGAGCGTTTTGCGAGACTTCATCAGGTGTTTTATTATCTTTATTTTTTTGAAAAAATTGTAATTTTTTTCCCTTTTCCAAACCTTAAGCTGGATTTTGGTTGCTTATAGTGTATTTTGAAACATAAGGAGATAATGGTTTTATTTTCTGCTCTTCCATATTGCCATGCTATCTTACATGCTATGTTTTGAATTAGTTGTTACGGTTTAAGCTGCCACCGTGTTTGATTTGTGCATGCGGGCCTTATATCTCATAAAACATTTGGGATTTCTAGACAAGGTTCACCCTTTCTTGCAACTCAATAGGGTTTTATCAAATCTCGTTTCTACATAAACTTTGGTCCTTGTTTATTTGTATATATTTATATTTTTAAAAAAATATATAATATGTGGAATTTAAAAAATGTAATGAATACTAATATCAATAGCTTGTATTGTAATTTAATAGCCTTTTAACTTTTTGATATATAGATTTGGACCTTTCTTGAATAGACACAGAGTTTATCTTTCAGTCTTTGTGATAATTGTGTGGAGCTCAATTAGGGAATTAGCATGGTCACTCTCATGTTTGTATAGGTTTTATTTTATTAAATGATGTTTTGTGAACAAAATTTGTAGGGATTAGCTGTGAGACAACTAAGTCGGAAGGTGTGTCAGTTTCCCAATAGATAATTCTTGTTTACATCTGTGAATTGCATAAAAAAGACATCCACAAAGTGACATTGGGCAACAGATCGTCTTCCTATTGTATACAGTAAGATAGGCATACTTCTAGAAATAAACTTTAAGAATGAAACGCAGAAAATAAATTCAGAACACTTTTTGTGTCCTTATTATGCTTTTATCTTCCATAATCAGGTCTTCGGAACCTTATATTTTGGATGCCCCCTTATTTAAAGATCAAACATGAATTGATAATTCAACTCAACAAAGTCTTGTCCCAATTGTGTAGGAGTGGCTACTTGAATCTTGTTTACCATTCGGCGCAGTTTTGGGGCCATAACTTAAGTTAAATCTCATATTACCTTGTCTTTCCTTTTTATCTTATCTCACGTTATTGTGGTTTTCCCATTTATTAAGCATTACCCTCAACTGACACTATTTAACTTTTCTCATTGATGTAGTTACTGATATATATATATATATATATATATATATATATATATATATATATTGATAAGTAAAATATTATAAAAGCGCTCAGAAGGGGAGTGAAACCCAAGAGAAATACACAAGACCACAAGGGGCCTCAAGCCTTCAGAGAGGCCAAAAAATCGACAATCTCCTCTAAAGATCTATGATTTCTCCCTAAAACCCAACAAAAAAGAGTGGAAAGAATAGAGAACTTAAGCATAGAAATCGACATCTCCTTTCCATCAAAATATCTCCTATTCCTCTCAAGCCATAAACGCCACCACACACACAGAGGTGTAGCCCTCCAAGCATCCTGAATGTGGGCCCCCACATGGCAACCTCTCCAAGCCTCAATAAACCCGGTTCCCAGCATAACCCAGGGGATCCCAAACAAGCCAATCATTAAATCCGAGCAATCTCCAGCCATGGTGCAATGAATGAGAAGGTGATCCACTGTTTCCTCATCTCGAAGGCACATATAGCAACAATTAACCACCACCTAGTTTCTCCTTCTCAAGTTATCCTGGGTTAATATCCTTCCTAAAACAGAGGTCCATGCAAAGAAAGCCACCTTGAGAGGAGCCTTTGAGCGCCAAACAGACTTCAAAGGAAAGCGAACTCTAGGATCATTCGAGAGACACCTGAAAAACGACCTCACCTCAAAACGCCTCTGAGAGTTGGCAGCCCAAATCCAACTATCAGACTCCTCAACCACAATCCTTTGGCGATACAGCAACTCCAAGAAACGAATGGCTTCCTCAGTCTCCCAGTCCTGAAACAATCGCCTGAATTGAACATGCCAAACCAGTCTCCCACTATCAAGATTATAACAGTTGACCACCAAAGCTTGCCTATCCGAAGCAATCCTGAAAAGTTGAGGAAAAGCGAGAGCGAGAGGAACAACCCCACGCCAAACATCCTCCCAAAAACTAATCCTCCTCCCATCCCTAAGTTGAAACCGAACATGTTTGGAATAGACATCCCACCCCTTCCGAATAAAATTCCAAACCCCCACCCCCTGAGAACCACTCACTTCCAGAGAACTCCACCCTCCTCTCAACTCCCCAAAACGGCTCGCCACGACCCTCCTCCAAGGCCAGTGTCTCCACACCAAATCTCCACAACCATTTCCCAAGGAGGGCCTTATTAAAAGGCACCAGTCTTCGAAGACCCAAACCTGATATTTGTTGCTTATGTGGCCATACAATTTTCTTTTATATTATCTTCAAAATTTGCATGCTCTTATTTCTTATTTTCTTTGTCTTACTACACATTTTTTCTTAGTATTTGTATTTTAGTTGCGCTCCTTGTATTAACATGTTTTTTGCTGCCTCATATTTGGTCCAACAAAGTGTAGTTGATGTTGTAGTCAACTCAATTTCACTCCATAACTCCTGCTCCTACCTTTTTAAAGTCAACTATATGATTCCAGAGTTTCTCTCGAGACTTTTGATCCAACATTTATTCCTACCTGTTTTTTAATATCAATACAATATCATTAGCACATAGCATACAACATGCAACCTTACTTTGAATGTTTTTTATAGATCATTCATAACCAGGCAAAAGGATAGGAGTTTAATGCTCATACCTGATTTGTGCTATAGTAATTGCAAATTCACTAGTTTTTCCTCCAATTATTATTATTATTATAATCAGAGTTCCATTATATTCTCATATTTCATGTTAATATATATATATATATATATATTTGTAAATCCATTGTTTTCTAGAACTCTTTATGGTGGAATTTGGAAGAATGGTTCGCTGATAAATAGGTACGGTACTAAAATACTACGGTGGTCGACGATGGTGGTTGCCGGAGAGAAGTTGTGGGGGTGGATGTGGTAGTTATATGTATATGTAAATATATATGTGTGTGTTTGCGTCTGTATATACAGAGGGGTAGAGAGAGAATAGAGAGAGAGGAGGTAGATGGAAATTTTAAAAGCAATGAAGACAATTTGGACCAAAAAAGTATGGAAGTGCCCGGAAAAAATGGTCGCTGGAAGAGAAAGACAGATCAAAAAATAAAATGGAGAGAAATAGAGTGGAGGAGAGAAAATGTTTTCCTTCATTATTTTTTTTTAATTTCTTTTATGGGGTATTTTAGACATTTCAATTGCTAAATTGACATAATGTCCTTATTTGCACAAATTAAAACAACGGGGGTTAATTGCCCCCTTTTGTATATTATAGGGTTTTTTTTTTGTAGTTAACCCTAATATCAATTTATTCGATCATCCCGTTCGACCTTGCATTAGTTTTATCTTCTGAATTATGCATCATTTACCATCTTTAAAATATTCCACATTCTTGCCTTTAAATTCCATTGGCTAGTTCAATTGTATACCCATCTATGGCCTTACTTTTTATCTATGTTACATCTACTCGGGTACGTGTGTTTTGTCGAACGTTTCAAATCCTCATACATAAAGACACATGGACATTGCTAAATATTCAAATTATTTAATATTTTTATTTTATTTCTAGAGTAAAATAATGTCTTTAGGTAACACTGTTCAATATTGGCATTTCACTCAATTTGGAGCAATAATATAATAAAATCTATTCAAGTGATATATATTTTAGGTGCATGCCCAACCAAAAGTGTTGGATGCATATCCCAATACCCATGTCCAAGTATTGTGTGTCCAACTCGGGTACTTCACCTATATTTAAAGAGGCCATGTAAAATAGATTTTTATATGTCTTCAGTCTTGAGTGCATCTTCAGCCTGTATATTTCTTTTTGTCGTTTCTTTTAGACTATATAGGAGTAGAGGCTATGAAAATGTTTATACAATTGAATGAATGTAAACATGCTCTCCTTTGTTGCAGTTGGCTATGGGTTATTGGGGCAACCTGATCTAGTAGGGTAAATTTTTTGTGAGCTATGGGTGCATCTATATCCTTTTTATAGCTAGTGCATCTATAGCTTTCATTTTCTCTTTGGTTCTTTTTTAAGTGGTAAAAATTTAAAATGGATCGTTGTGATTACTTATATTATGGGGCATCATTATCCATAGAAATAGAAGCAAAATATTTAAAGTATAATTGCTATCAAATTTTTTTTTGGCTAGAGCATTGTTTCAATTTTGGGGATCTCTTGTGATCTGATGGCATGTTTTTTCAAAAGGATTTTATATATTGCTTATGAAAAAAAAGAAGGAAGAAAGGATTTTATACATTACTGGTTGTATCTGTTGGCCCTAGCCCCCTAGGTTTTCATAATAATTTTTTTTTTTTGATAAGTAAGAATTTTATAAAAAAGTGCTCAAAAGGGGAGCGAATCCCATGGAAACAAAAGGCCACAAAACGCCTTAAGCCTTCAAAGAGGCCAAAAAAATAACAATCTCTTCAACAGAACGATAATCTCTCCCTGAGACCCAACAAAAAAGAGTGGATATAATGGAAAACTTAAGCATAGACATAGGTTTCTCCTTGCCATCGAAATATCTCCGATTTCTTTCGAGCCAAATGCACCACCAAATACAAAGAGGGGTAGCCCTCCAAGCATCCTGAATGAGAGCTCCAACTGAGACACCTCTCCAAGCCTCAATCAACCTTCTAGAGGAACAGGGCATAACCTAGGGGACCCTAAATAACCCAATCATCAAATCCCAACAATCTCTGGTCATACTGCAATGCAACAGAAGGTGATCCACTGTCTCCTCATCGTGCCGGCACAAGTAACAACGATTGATAACCACCTGATTCCTCCACCTCAAATTATCCTGGGTTAAAATCTTACCCAAGACAGAAGTCCAAGCAAAGAAGGCCATCTTAAGGGGAGCCTTGGAGCGCCAAATAGCCTTACAAGGGAAAGGACCACCATCACCAACAGTAAGGCACCTGAAAAAGGACCTCACCTCGAAACGACCCTGAGAGTGTGGACTCCAAAGCCAACAATTAGACTCCCCATGAGAAATCACCTGACGATACAGTAGTTCCGAAAAACGAGTGACCTCCTTAATCTCTCAATCCTGAAAATGCCTCATAAACTGAACATCCCAAGTTAGTCTTCCGTTATCAAGATGATAATAGTCAACCACCAAGGCCTGTCTATCAGAAGCAATCTTGTAAAGCCAAGGGAAAGAAAGAGCTAGGGGAAGCTCCCCACACCAAAGGGGAGCTTCTTCTATAAGACGTTATGTTTCTTTTCTTTTCTTTTTTTTTTTGGTTGCATATTTTGGTGGGGCTTTTGTGTAAATTTTGTACACATGCTAATCTTTAATATCACTTGCTTATTTGTAGGGCAGAGGCATAAGTGATCCAACTGAAACTTTGGAAGAGCTTTATTCACTGTTGCTGATAACCGGGCATGTTCTCGCTGATGAAGGAGAGGGAGAAACACCTTCGGTACTTTACTTATTTTCTGCTTTCTAATTTTTGTTCTTGCAATTAAGCCCAATGTCTCCTAAATTCTATTTGAGAACAATTTCTGTGTAATTGATTAGGCATTAATCTCAAGAATTGCATTATTTGATATCCATTATGTGACATTCCGGCAAAACGTATTAATGCATATATTTGTATTTATATTATAGCTTTATAGGGAGCCTTTGGCTATTTTTGTGTAATTTGCTAGTTTGGGGGCGGCTACTAACTTATCAGAGCAACTAATTGGGGTAGTATTACAATTATGAGAAAGATTCTTAATTAGAGCAACTAATTGGGGTTTTAGCTTTACAATTATGAGAAAGATTCTATCTAATTACTTTTGCATTCGATTTTTAATTATTCATAAAACTTGTTATGTTTTATGTGACGCAGACTGCAGATGCACAAGCTGGACGTTACCACCTGAATTATATGATAAATTCTATATTTGCATTTACCATATATTTAAGTTGTATTCTTTCATTTGGTTTGTTTGGTTATTAAACATCATGGTCCCATCTCCCTTTTTTTCTAGGGGTATAAGTGACTTATCTTATGCTGTTGATAAATATTCAAGATTTATGTGTAAGCAGGATTTTTATGCTTCTGGAATTATTTTATTTAAAACATAGTTTTTACGTAACTAGAAATTCTAATCATGGGTGAGATTATGTGATATTTAGGTTCCAAACTCTATACAAACCCATTTTACGGACTTTGTGGAAGCAGACAAACACCCTGTTGTTATACTTTCTGGGTAAAGTCCCCCTTTCTCTTTGCTGAAACATTATGTGTATTTTGAGTTGGATGCCAAATTAAAGTTGGCGTGAATATGCTTTATGGGAAAAAAGGTGGATATTTGCTTATTTTTATTTTATTTTATTTTATTATTATTATTATTTTTGTGTGTGTGTGTGTGTGTGTGGAGATGTGTGCATATAAGTTCCACAAAGAATAGTATGCTAAAGTCAAATATACCATATGTAGCTCGACAGTCTTTTTCCCAACTACTTGGGGTAGGCTACATGAATCCTATTTTTTCATTTCCCTCTAAGGCCGTAGCCTTTTTTTTTTGATAAGTAAGATTTTATTGAAAACGCTCAAAAGGGGAGCGGAATCTAAAGAAACACAAGGGCCAAAAGGTGCCTCAAACCTTCAAAGAGGCCAAAAAAATAATAATCTCCTCAATAGATCTATAATCTCTCCCTGACACCCAACAAAAAAGAGTGGAAATAATAGAGAACTTAAGCATAGAAATAGGTTTCTCTTTTCCCTCAAAATATCTATGATTTCTCTCGAGCCAAATGCACCACCAAATACAAAGAGGCGTAGCCCTCCAGGCATCCTGCGTGAGAAAAATGGGTAAAGACCTGCTTACTAATGCAGCCCCAACAGAGACACCTTTCCAAGTCTCAATCAACCCTCTGGAGGAACAAGGCATAACCCAATAGACACCAAATAAACCAAGCATCAAATCCCAACAGTCTCTGGCTAAGCTGTAATCCAAAAGAAGGTGATCAACTGTCTCCTCATCGCACAAGCACATATAACATCGATTGATCACCGCCTGATTCCTCCTCCTCAAATTATCCTGGGTTAAAATCTTACCCAGTACGGAAGTCCAAGCAAAGAAGGCTACCTTAAGGGGAGCCTTAGAACGCCAAAGAGACTTCCAGGGGAAAGGGACCATATCATTTGAGTATCAAATGCATTAAAAATTATGGAAGAATACTGCATGGAAAATCCCATAACAAAGAGGAGTCATATGTACATCTCACAGTACATTTTTGATGTATAACAATGCTGGTACTTCTAGATTCATTTGGACAGGTATCAAGACACTTACAGTTTGTTGGTACTCTTGGTAGCTCTGAAATAAAAAAAAGTAATTATATCATGATTATGCTGCTATAAATGTTAACTTAATTGCGTTTCATCTTGTCACCATCAAATTCTAATCTTTGCATCACGCAATTATACCATACAATTGGAACTGTATTTCATTTATTGATTCTTTTTGATTTATTTTTATGGTAACTGTATATTTTATTTATTGATTCTTTTGTTTTATTTTTATGGTCTTTGGACATACCTTGTTGTGATATTTTTTGTTGGATATTTTCATCACGTGTCTCTTTTCTTTATTGATGCAGCTCAATTATAAAGTTTGCTCAGCAGAGTTTAGATCCAGATATGAGAGCATCGTTTTTCAGTCCTCGGCTTATGGAGGTTATCTATCAAATCACTTTCTTTTATGACCTATATCAACTCAACTTTTGGATCCTTTTCTGCTCATTTCCATGCCATCTTTGGGATTGGGATCCCAATGTAGTGGCTCAACTGCATGTTCCTTTTACATTTTAACTAAAGCAAGGGTAAAGAGTCGTATTGGATTCTGATGCTTCAAGACATGTGTCGTGCATGCCTTGAACAACAAAATGCGCGTTCTTATAATAAGAGTGCAAAAATTTAGGGAAAACATTACCAAGTGTCCAAATAGTTGGACTATTTAAAGGAAGAAAAATTGATTTGCCAGGGGGTATGCTCCCTCTGCTCCTCGGGCTTGTGTGTAATGCCCATCTCTTGGTTTCTTTTCTCCTTGTGTGAGAATGTATAATGAACTTACTCAGCCACAAAAAAAAAAAAAAAAAAAAAAAAAAGGAAAAAAAAAGAGGGAAACATCCTGAGTCTTTCTTATGTGAATTCTACCATTATAACCACAGAAAGTCTGATAGATTCCAATTATACGTTTAATGTTTATTATTGCATGTATGCAAAAATCTTCGTTGCCATGTTTTTGCGGTATCCCTGTCCTATCTTTTGCAAAAATTCTCATCTTGTTGTGGTTGTCTTTTTTCTTACCCTTATCCACGTCTTTGTTTTTGCTTCATAGTTAATAATGTTTGAGGTCTATGAATTCATAAGCAGGTTCCTGGTAGTGTTAGTTCTGGCATTATATGCATTTAATTTGGCATATGGGACCTGTATCATTACCTTGTATACCATTCAATTTTGTTTAATGATGATCAGATTTTGATAGGGCATCCTAATATCCTAAGTTCCTCTTATTGTCCTACAAATTATTGACTACTGTCCTTTTGTTGCAAATATATATATTTTTCCCGTGAATAACTTTCTACATAATGCAATAAAATAAGCATTAATGTTAAGTAATATTTTTCTCTCTTGAATTTTAATTTTATTTTTTGTTGTTTGGCAAGCAAGATCCTTCTCTTTGAACTTGTCTACTGTTATCCTAGTCATGCTATCTTAGTTATTTGTTTGAGCTAAATTTTTATACAGGCAGTTATATGGTTCCTTGCAAGATGGTCATGTACTTATCTATTACCAGATAAAGAAAGTCGAGACACTTGCAGTAATTCAGATAATGATCATGAGAATCAGCTCAAGTCAGAGTGCCCCGGAAAAGCTTTGCTTAGTTTTTTTGGAGAGCATGATCAAGGTAAACTCGTGCTTGATGTTATTGTCCGCATCTCCATGACGACACTTGTTTCATATCCCGGGGAGAAGGATTTGCAGGTATGAGATATGGAAAATATTTTTCCTCGTTCTTTGATAGTAGACATTTCAGTCTTTGATATTTGATAGGTTCTCCTGGATTGTACTCTTGAGTTCTATATACATGCCTATTCAGAAAGGGTATAGGAAAATAATTTGACTTCCTTTTTATAGAGATGTTATACTAGGAAGGTTATAGGATAATATTTTGAGTTCCTTCTTGTAGAGATATTGAACCATGGTACTTGCTAGTGTGCTTTCCACGAAAAACAAGTCCTCAGATGGACGCCATTTGTTGATGGTTAATTGTTGCTACACCTAATGTCATAAATCATGGGAAATGCATTCACTCCTAGTTGTTATTGTGTTTGAGTGCATTATTGACCTTACTTACTGCAAGATGTGATTGAGGGGCTGCATGATTTCACATTTCATAATCAGTTTGAAAACAGAATGCTACTTTGGTAGACCCACTTTCTTAGTTAAGCATGGTTTTATGTAATTGTTTGCTTTGTCTATCAATAAGCTCTTAGTACAACATTTTTCTTGCAACCCTGCTTGTTTTCTTGCCATAACCTTGACTGTTTTTGGAAAAATGCAAAATGACAGTGAAATGAAATTTGTCTTCAGATGAAAACTGCAGTATATGTTTGACTATTAGATGACGGGCTACTTCTGTTTTTTTTTTTTTTTCTTTCAAAGCAAAATTATTTGTATGCTTGTGTGTAATTCATAATGTATAGAAGATTTAAACTCTTGATATCATCAAATAAATTGAGTACACAAAGCTATTTATCATGAAACATTGGGATCATGTCACAACTCCTTATGCTTGAAGGAGTAGCAATCTTTTATCCTTGCCTTCACAGTCATCTCCCTTGACTTACTGCAGATTCATTTCCAACTCATATCTTCCCCAGGCTAGTTATAACTGCTAGACTGTCTTTTTCTTTTTTGTCCTTTTGCTAGGCAATCTTGTGAAGCTGTCAGCTCATTCCGTCTGCCTAGTCAAGATAGCTTGCAAGGCTTCGGATGCTTCCCAGACTTGAGTTTGAGTTTCTCCCTAGCTTATTGGGATATTTTGTTCCCACAACTTCCTCCATCAATGATCATAGTGCATATCTGATGCAGGAGCATCTACGAGGCTCTCCAAGACTAATTGGGCCCCCTAGCCAGCTAGGCTTGGGTTCTATTTATCTTGGGGTTTTAGTTATTTGCTTATTTTCTGTGTGTCTTATTTGATTTTTATGTTTTATGTTATTTGGTAGATGATAGTTATAGTCCTAGTCTTTTTAAATACTCATGTGACTTTTTAAGTACTTTGGAGGGTTAAGATTTATTAGTCATTGAAGTAATCAAGGGGTAGGATGCTAGTGCTGCTGTAACCCTTGTATAAATAGTCTATTAAGAGACTTTGTATGCAGTTTTGATTCCAGAAATTCAGATTTAGAGTTTCTCTCGGGTCTCTTTGCCCTAGAACTCACCTATCTACGTTCCAACTTCGATTTTATTGCTTTATCTCTCTGTTTTTCTGCTTGTTTATTGCTGAAAATCCTTTTCTTTCGTTGTTTTACACTGTTACAGCTGCCGGACAGCAGCTTATCGCTACTGCCCTGCACCAATATCTTTACACCAATAGTACAAGTGGTGTGAAAAATTGTTGCTCCAGAGTCATTGTTATCCATCTTCGTGTTTTGGAAGCAACCCTGATTTTCGCATCACCAAGGATTTGCCTTTGTCACCATGTAGAATATCACCATACTCTCCATCTGAGGAATCATCAAAGTTCAGCTCAACCTCCGCATATAATTCATAGTTCGTGTCTTCCTCCATCACATTTTGTTCCTTTATTGATACGGTTGCCCCTGGATTTTAGGCACCCTATTGACCTATATCTGGGCTCCCCACACATGTAACACCTCATTTCAAGGTCTCCACCGCTATTTTGACCTGCTGTCCCCTCAAAATTTGGTTGTTTTGGCATTAGTGCCTGGTTTCGTACCCCGCCAACGTGTGGCAGCTACGGTCTCACATTCTGAGCGTTGTTTTGCACTGATGTAAAGGCTGATTTGATTCTCCTCTAAAAGTGGGCTGCAATACTGCGGAACTGCTGCTAGAGCTCCAAACCTGCCTGTTTTGTTGTTTCTCTACCACCAAAACCTGTTGCTAAGCCTCCGAAACAGAAAATGAATACTAGAGTAAGGCTTCTTGTATGCTGGGCCTTAATACCTGACATAATGTGTCACCAACTGCTCATCCCTCTCCGGTAAATCATTGTATGTGATTAATCAGTAAACTTCTTTGGTATAGTCTTCCATACTGCGACTTGCTTCTTGAAGTCGTTTGAACATAATCAAAAGGTAAAAATTGTTTCTTCATCTTTTCCCGTTTTGCAATCTTAAGCTTACACTGTGCTCCCTGGTAATCCGTAATTGTTCCATAATGCTGATACTCTTATTTCAAATGAATAGTGATGAGCTTGACCTTCTTGTGATCGGATATGTCGTGGTATTCTAAAACACACGATGGTATTTAGCCATAGATCAACTCGTCCTTAAAACTTCATAAAGTTCAAGAATCTTAATTTTGATATTCGCCTCCCAACATTGTCAGTCCCTTTGTTTGGTGATCTATGACAATGCGGATGATAAAATGGTACCAGACACATCATCTTCTTGACTTGCCTTGGTGGAAGTTCTACTCTGTTTTGGGCTTGCTTTATAAGGGTTCTTCTCGAACTTGCATCCTATGACATCCTCTTGGTGTTCTCATGGAAGCATGATTGGGAGGCTGGAAAGCCAAAACTAAAGCTCTGATTGGACATTGACCCATTTATTGGGTTAGCAGGACCAGGAGAGGATAGGATATTGACCCATTTGTTGGGTTAGCTTCTTGACTTGCCTTGGCGGAAGTTCTACTTTGTTTTGGGCTTGCTTTATAAGGGTTCTTCTTGAACTTGCATCCTACAACGTCCTCTTCTTGGTGTTCTCATGGAAGCATGATTGAGAGGTCGCAAAGCCGAAACTAAAGCTCTGATACCAAACCTGATGCCTTACCAGGAGAAAATGATCAAATCATCGGTCACTACCAGATTGGAGACAAAAATAAAGAATATAGTAAGAAAAAAACGAGAAAATAAAGAATATAGTAAGAAAAAAACGGAGAAAATAAAGAGGCAAATTCTCGCTGCTTCAGTATGAATTGGGAACTCCAATAACAATAATTCTTAAAACCCAAACAAAACAAAACTTTATAGGGTTTTCCTTCTCAATGTCAGTGATAATTAGCCTTACTACAAAAATTAAAACAAAGTATCAAAAGACTTTCTTAATCCTGTCTGTTTGTTCCTTCTTTTCCCTCTATCCTTTTCAGGGTGTTCCCAATATTGCAGGAATTTATCCACTTGATTTAAATCTACACCAGAGAGTGAGGGAGGAAGGGAGTGAAGGAGGGAAATGTGCATTTCTAAAGTGGCAGTATCACCCAAAGTTGATGAATCCTATGACTAAGCTCTCAAAGGAGAGTGCCTGGCTTCTCTAGAAATTGTAGAATTGCACTTCTTAAGCGGCAGGAATTTATCCACTTGATTTAGGTCTACACCAGAGGGAGAGGCATGGGTGGGGGAGGGAAGACTTAGAATTGCATTTCTAAGGTTGATGATTCCTGTGACTATGCTCTGAAGTAGTGTGCCTCGTTTCTGTCAATTGTTTTTGTGGGAATAATTAGTGCACTTTGGGTGCTTTCAGTGGCTCAAAAGCTGATCTGCTATGTCTGCTACCACTTCATGTGGTCACATTTTCAACATGCCAAGGATGGTTTATAAGTTCCACCATATCACAGGATAGTTATTGTTTGCATGAAAGATACAAAAACAACTCACATTCTATCTTTTCTCGACTTGATTCTTATTGAATAATTCTTAAAAATACTCACCGACTTTAATCACCTTATTCAGGAACCTCTTTGATATTAGAGGTTGGATTATTTGTAAAATAATATATTAATCACTGCAGTGAGGCAGCATGATAAATTTTTTCCACAGGCTTCCTTCACAATAGAACTGGAACAAAGTTGAGGGTTCCATTTCCATTATTGTCCTTTCCTTGAAGCTCTAATATATATATATAAATATATTATATCCCTGGCTCATTTCTCCTGCTTGGAACTATGTGATGAAGACTGACAAATAATTTTTGTTCAGCACTCACAATTTTTAATTTTCCTGACTTAATGGAGTTTCATTTCACAACTAACTTCATGAAATATGACTTTATTCCTTTCTTATTTTTTATTTTACATTTTACACTTTGACTAGCTTTATCTGATTTTCGAGTTCCAAGATTGCCTAAATGGTTGTGCAAGGAGTGATATCTCCTTTAATTAGGAATATTTCCTTGACAGTGTCTTGCTTCATGTTTCAAAATATATAAATTATTTATTTATTTTTTATTATTTATTTATTTATTTATTTTTTATTGTTTGAAAATTTATTTCTCCTTTCTCAAATGTAAGATGTTGGCAGGTGTTATAATTGTGTTTGTATTTGACAGGCAGTTACTTGTTACCAGTTGCTTCATGTGCTTGTCCGGCAAAGGAATGTTTGTGTGCACCTTGTTGATTTGGTGAGTTGTATATACATTGTTTATGAATGCAAGTGAATCTTAGTGGAGTGTATCATTGTGTTTTGTTGTGCTCTTGGCCACCTTCCTTTGTTTTGGTTTTGTTAATAAAACTAGCTAATTTTAGCAATTATTGAAGTGGGGTTCTTTTATCATATCTTTATCCTTTTCATTCTTTTTCCTTTCCCTCCTTGTCATAAATGAATAAACCATCAAAATTTTAGTTTAGCTTTCCCAGTGCAAGCCCAAAAAGGAAGGAGCTTGAGTAAGTTGGACCGCAAGACCTTTGTGTTTACACTTTCGAACATGAATCCTGAAATGTAAAAATCTGGATTCATGTAGCCTTAGATGTTTGGAATAAGGCATACTTAGAGTGGATTTGTGATCAGCATACAGATATCGTAATGGCTGTGGGTGTTATATGATTTTCTTAGAAGGCGAATTAAGGACCCCAACTTGGTGTGCGTTGAAAAAAAGTGCTTATGCATTTATGAGAGTGCACTGCAGTGTTGTGAACATGGTGAAAATGCTGAAATGTTATATCCATGTTGTAATAGCCTGTTATTGTATTTTGGTGTGACACTGTTTTCATGATGACTTTGTTATTGCTTATTTATACATGGGAATTTGTTTCAAGATGTTGATACATGAAACAACCTATGGCTTGTCGGTATCATGCCAATTGGCTGGTGGCATATTTGGCTTAAGGCATGCCATTGGCTCCAATTTGCTAGTATCCTCGTTATATAAGGTCACATATACAACGAGGATACTTTTAATAATTTAGATATTGATGTAAGCATCTTTTTCCTACTGAAATATCTGGATTTTTTTCTTACCAATTTAAAAGGGAAAAAAAAATATATTTCATGTTGATCTTAGCTATGTATATGAGTGTTAGAGGATTTATTTATTAAGGGTAGTCTTGTCTTTTCTTTCTTTTTAGTTAGGACAGTCTTGTCTTTTATTTCTTTTTAGTTAGGGCATATTCTGTGTATATAAATATGTGTTGTAATTCAGAAAACATATCTACGATTCAATAATATAGCATCAGTTCTTCAAAGTTTTCAATGAGAATGAAAAATAAGCCATTTCTTTTCCTTTTTTTCTGCAGGGCTCATGGCGTGACTTAGCAAATGCGTTTGCAAATGATAGAAGTTTGTTCACTTTAAACGCTGCTCAGCAAGTAATGACTTAAATTTTTTGTCACCAGGACCTCACTTTTTTCTCTCAGTTTAGTAAACTACAATATTGTCCTTATCCTGTTGCAGCGTTCATTGGCTCAAACCCTTGTTCTTTCAGCTGGTGGCATGAGAAATTCAGAGGCTTCAAATCAGTGAGTCTACTTTTTAGGTTTCTCATGATCTTTTACTTTTTAATTGTTATGATTTTACTTCTGCTTTATGGCCTAATATCTGGTTACAATTACTCAAAGGTACGTTAGGGATCTCATGGGTCATATGACAGCTTATCTAATGGAGATGTCTGGCAAGAATGATCTAAAAAATTTTGCCCAACAACCAGATGTTATCCTGGTGGTAATTACATAACTTTTGAAATACGAGGTCATTTTCAGTTCATGTATGTTCCATTGTTACTCGTCAAGAAAAGTATTTTAAAAACTCGACGGACATCCTGTAGATCAGCTGCTTGTTGGAGCGCCTTCGTGGAGCTGCCAGTGCCACAGAACCTCGAACACAAAAGGCAATTTACGAGATGGGTTTCTCCATAACGAACGCTGTTCTGCTTTTGCTTGAAGTTTACAAACATGAGGTATTTGTTGTATGTATCGATTTTTGTGTAATCTACTTCCATTACACGCCTTTCTGAAAGTTATGGTTTCCTACTTTTTTGGACTTCCACTTGTTTAATACACAGTTTGTGTTCAAAAGCTTCTAACATTTTATTGATGTCCTGAATTTATATATTCTTAATTTTCATTGACATTTGTGAACTAATTCATTTTCTGAGCTATCAAATGTTTGCCTGTTGTTGACATTAAGTTGACATTAAATTATGGAGTCATGGTCGACTTCTTTGTGAACTTAGTTTTGGTTGAATATCATTACACTTGGATATATGATAATGGTTGACTCTAGAGTGTAATATTATATTTCTTATTCACATGTATGCACATACTCATTCTGGATATATACAACATAATTTAGATACCCAAACATTAGGTGTCTTACTAATGATGTAGGACTGCAGTCACTGCACTTAATTATTCAGAATAAGCTACCCATGGCTGATTATTTGGTGAGCTTTGTCTATGGATACTTATGAGCTTTCTAGACTGAAAAAGGTTAGTTAGGCTTGGTTATAAAGTTGAAAATATTTGGACTTTCCGAGGATGTGTTGTTGGACAGCAGCTAATTGTCTAAAAAAAAACACCAAAACGGTATGGAAAGTTTTGGAGTTACAAACCAGAATTTTGGGATGAAAAAGTAAAGGAAATCGCATGTCATGATGAAATATGATAATTAATATTCTGGAAATTTCACCTACATTCCCTTGGGCCCACAGTGTAGTTTCCATCAAACAATTATCTACTTGCAAATTATTTAAGTTGAACATTGATTCAAAAAGTACAGAAATATGCACAAGACACTGGTGGTCTCCTAAATTTTATGGATTAGGACTCTGAAGTTAGAAGTTTGAACTTTTATGGTTAAGGCTAGCCTAAACCTTTCATAATGCTACACTTCAATATATATATATATTTTTTGGCTCAATAGCAATTGGGTTGAGGGCCACTATATATATATATATATATATATATTCATATCCCATCATACAAATATGTATAAGGCCACATATAAAAGCTCAACAGGATAGCTACCCAATTTACTAGCATAATAAAACTCATGGGCCACTAGTACAATCTATCCAATGTTTAATTATACTCCGAAAATAAGCTTCAGTGCTTCACTCAACCAAAAACAAGGAAGTATTAAAAGGTACAGGAAAAAGTTGTAGCATTTTAATCGAATGAAAAAGTTTTCAGTAAGATTGAATTTAAATCAAAATTCCACAATAAGAGGTCCTTAGTGGCCATTTGTTAATGTGCTCTCTATCATTATCTTTACATAGTATTTGTTCTTCAAGATTTCGGGAAGATCTCACTAAGTGAAGCCAAATAATGATCATCGCTATTTCTATTAATTAATTTTCACTCTCTTTTGCTTAAATATTTTCCCCTTCTATCTGTTGAACACAATGCTTAAGATCCTGCTGGGCACCACAAGATTTTCAGTTTCTTCTTCTAGTTACATTTAAAAAATATAAAAAACTTGAATTATCTTGCGTGGCATTTTCAGACTTTCTGAGGTCAATTTAATCTTAATCAACTATATAATGTTAAAATGTACAGATTTAACTGCTATACATGTATACATTGCTGAAATTATAATATAGGTATATATTGTTCAAATTATAATATAGGTATACATTGTTGAAATGATAAAGATTTATCTTTACTGATCCTAACTTACTTTTTAGTCTGCAGTTGTCTATCTGCTACTTAAATATGTTGTTGACTGGGTGGACGGACAAATTATCTACCTAGAGGCTCAAGAAACTGCAGTAGTTGTTAATTTCTGTTTGCGCTTACTTCAGCTTTACTCATCTCACAATATTGGCAAGGTAAATTCTTGTCACATCCCCTTTTGCCCTAAACCATATGCACAATCTTACATAGAGCAAGATCTTGTCCATTATTGTACTTTTTATCCATTAATGTATTTAGGATGTAATGTTATTGCATTACTTATCTTGATTATGAATAGAGCAATAGGACTGTTGTAGAGGAACTGTTGGATTATAGATTTGTTCCCTAAACTTGATGCTCAATCTTAAATAGAGCAAGAGCTTGTCAATTAATGTATTTCCTTTTCTTTTTTTATTTATTTATTAATCCATTGATGTTTCTAGGATGTAGTATACATTAGTCTTATATCATATCACTTTTATATATTTAATTATAAAGTGAATATTGTTCTGCTTATAGTGTTCGTTTCAAGATTAAGAATGTTAAGAATTCCATGAGAAATGATTTGAAAGTACCTGAGAAATTTTCATTTTTAAGTTCGGTTCCGATTGAAAATTTACATTGATTACGATTTTCACTCAATACTCGACAACATGAAAATATTTGATATGGAGGAGTATAGCGAAGAACAGGATATGTGGAGAAGATGATATTGATGTTTGATGGCAATTAAATATTCCAAATGGTCCAGACCGGGACAAAAAGAATGGCCTGTGTGTAACTGGACGGGAATTCATCCTCTAATTGGTCTTCTTTTGAACCTTTAACTGGACTACATCATCATCATCCTTTAATTGGAATTCATCCTTTTTTACGATTGATCCCAATTATCGGAAATAATTACATTGAGTAATGCTTTGGTCTTAAATTTTTACTACTATATATCATTTCCTATATCACTACTAAATTTACATTCTATGTATTCTGTTTTAGTTCTACTGTTTTTTAAGCCTTTTGATTCTAGAGCCACTCTCCAAGCTTCTAATTTTATTGCTAAGGCTTCCTTAGAGCTATCCAATAGCACAATTTCTTCCACAAATAACATGCACCATGGAAGATCTCCTTGTATCTCCTTGTATCCCTGATTATCGTAAATAAATATGGACTTAGCGCCAATCCTCGGTGTAATCCTACTCTTGTGGAAAAATCATTCATCTCTCCGCGTGGCACATATGCTACAAACTCTAATCTCAGAATCCTTATACATATCCTGAATAAGTTCATTAAGTCTTAAAGGAATATGTTTTCTTCGTAAGGCTCACCAAATCATGTCTCTTGGAACTCTATCATATACCTTCTTTAAGTCTATAAAAACCAGGTGTAGATCTTTTTGCTTACTTCTACACCCCCAATAGTTGCCTTAATGGGTAATGGCCTCTATAGTGGATCTTCCCGGCATAAATCCAAATTGATATGGTATGTTCTTTCCTTGGTCTTTGTTCTATTATTCTTTCCCTTGATAGGTAAATGGCCTCTAAGGGTTATTATTCGGTTCTACCTCTTTATTGTTTTCCATTTTACGAAATGTGTTATCTACCTCATTCCTATTTGATTTTATCTATCATACTAAGATTAGGCCCATTATTCTCAATGTCCTCTCTAGGATATTCTTCATCTAGGAGTTGTTGAAAGTAATTTTGTCACTTATTCAATATGTCATCTTCTTTATCTAATATTTTTTTGATCCATGTCCTTAATACATCTAACTTGATCTTTTCGCCAACTTATAAATGCCTTTTTCACCCTCTTTTGCACCTAATTTTCCATGTAACTCATCTAAGGAATTTTGTTTGGCTCTAGCTACCATCTTCTTAGCTTCATTTTTTAGTTTCTTGTATTTCTCTACAGCTAGCGTATCTTTGCTTATCACATGATTCAAATCTAACACTACGTGACTGATTTGTGATTCTGTCCGCCAAGTCAGCTACTAATACAGTCTCTAAACTTTGTTTTATGTCAAAAATTCATAGCTCTACTTACCACATTAATAATTAACTACTACAACATTATTTTCCGGTTTAGCCTCCTGTGAGATCTCTTGTTCATTTGTGCATTTCTTGTAACTATTTAAGCATGCTGATGACCGTCTCCAGTTGAATGCTTTTCTTGTCACCTTCTGGTTTTTTCCTTGCGTTGAATTGAGTAGAAATATATAAAAAGAAGAGAAAGGAGAGAATTGCGTAAAGGCTTGAATGATATAAATTACTCACTCACAGCTCTATTATTTATAGATAAAATAAGCACATACTCATATTACAAGAAAGGAAAGTAAATCAAATCAAAATTAAATCACAACTTATTCTAAAGCATATTCTATGGCATATTCTATAGCATAGTTAAATCTCTGCTATTATGGTAAGTCATACCATAAATCGTGGTATCATATATGCTAACACTCCCCCTTAAGTTGGTGCGTAGATATTTGAAACGCCCAACTTGGACAATGCATTCTCAAACACAATCTTGCTGACGCCCTTTGTAAGAATGTCTGCAAGCTGCTGAAAGCTTGTGACAAATGGAGTGTAAATTTGACCAGAGATGATCTTCTCTCGAATGAAGTGACGGTCCACCTCTATATGCTTAGTCTTGTCATGCTGAACGGGATTTGCTGCTATGCTAATAGCAGACTAGAATGGAAGCGACACTGGAAGGCACAAGTCTGTCATCAAGGTTTTCAGCCAAAGCAACTCACCTACCCCAAGAGCCATAGCCCTATACTCTGCCTCTGCACTAGATCGAGAGACAACATCTTGTTTCTTACTGCGCCAAGTAACCAAGTTACCACCAATAGTGGTACAATAACCTGAAGTAGACCTCCTATTTGAAATTGATCCTGCATAATCAGCATTTGTCCAAGCTTCAACACGTAAGTGACCATGATTAGCAAACAAAATACCATGGCCTAGACACCCTTTTAAGTAGCGAAGGATCCAAATAGATGCATCAAGGTGAGGGGCACGAGGAGAGTGCATGAATTGACTCACAACACTCACGGCATAAGCAATGTTAGGTCGAGTTATGGATAAATAGATGAGCTTCCCCACAAGTCGTTGATACTGACCAATATCTGACAACTACTCCCCCTTAGAATCAGCCAACCGATGATTCTGCTCAATCGGAATATTAGCAGTACGAGCGCCAAGCTGACCAGAAGCAGAAAGCAAGTCAATAACATACTTGCGTTGAGAGATGAAAATGCCAGTTTTGGAGCGAGCCACCTCAATGCCCAAGAAGTACCGTAGGGGATCAAGATCCTTAATCTCAAACTGACGGACAAGATAGCTCTTAACCTCATCAATTCCGGTAGTATCATCGCCGGTAAGAACAATATCATCAACATACACAATGAAAGCAACTATCTTACCGCCTGAATGACGTAAAAACAAGGTATGATCAGCTGCACTTTGATAGAAACCAAACTTGAGCATAACAGTGCCAAAGCGATCAGACCAAGCTCGAGGAGACTGCTTGAGGCTATACAGAGAACGACAAAGACGACATACCATACCAGAATGAGCAGGAGAACGAAAGCCCGGAGGAGGAACCATGTACACCTCCTCTTGCAAATCACCATTGAGAAAGGCATTCTTGACATCTAACTAAAATAGAGGCCAAGATCGAATTACAGCAACGGAAAATAATACACGGATGGTATTCATCTTGGCAACAGGGGCAAAATTCTCCTGATAATCTATGCCATAAGTCTGAGCATAACCCTTGGCAACCAATCGGGCTTTGTAACGAGCAACTGACCCATCTGGATTATGCTGAACTGTAAACACCCAACGACAACCCACAACCTTTCGTCCAATAGGAAGCGGAACCATGTCCCAAGTTTGATTTTTCTCAAGCGCTTGTAGTTCTTCTGTCATAGCATCACGCTATTGAGGTTGCGCTAGTGCATCTGCAACACTAGAAGGAATAGGAACCGAGGCAATAGAAACAAGAAAACTCCGATAGGAGGGTGAGAGAGCATAATCAGAAACAAAATTAGAAATAGGGTATGTACAAGAACGTTTACCCTTTCAAAGAGCAATAGGGTGATCATCAAGTAAAACAATAGCTTGAGAAGGCGGAGCTGGTGCCGAAGGAATAGGGCAGTCGATCGTGGGAGTAGAAGCTTGTACCTGTTGTCTCCGACTATAAACCTGTGAAAAAGGAACAATTCCCCCTGCTAGAGGGGTATCACGAGGAGGAATCATAGAAGAAGAAACAGGTAATGGTAGAGGAGTTAAAGACGGAAGAAGGTGATCATCCATTATATTCAATGGGAACCATTCACTCTGAGAACCAACTGAACCACTATAGTATGGTGTATACTCAAAGAAAGAAACATCCATGGTTATAAACCGCCGACGACTGGGAGGATGGTAACACCTATAACCTTTTTGAGAGTGATAATAGCCCAAAAACACACACTTCAAAGCCTTGGGGTCAAGCTTTGTACGAGTCTGCCCCAACTGCTGAACAAAGCACACACACCCGAAGACTCACGGAGGAATAAAAAAAAGAGATGAATTGGGATGTAAGATTGAGAGTAGGGCTGCAAAGTTAAGAATCCTAGGAGGAGTCCTATTAATGATGTAAACAGCGGTAAGAACTGCATCTCCCCAAAATGACTGGGGAACAGTCATGCCAATGCAGATTGCTCTGGCTAAGTTAAGGATGTGGCGATTCTTTCTCTCAGAACGACCATTCTGTTGAGGAGTTTTAACATTAGCCATCTGATGCTCAATCCCAAATTCTGTACATAACCGTTGTACCTCCCCATAAATGTACTCTGTACCCTGGTCAGATCTAAATTTTTTAATGGTACGACCATATTGAGTTTGAACCATTGTCATAAAATTTTTAAAAATGGTGTATACTTCATTATTGGTTTTCATAAGATAAACCCAAGTAACACGACTATGATCATCAATGAACAACATGAAATATCGAAATCCAAGACTAGAAGTAACTGGGCAAGGACCCCACACATCTAAATGAACAAGATCAAAAGGTGTTAAAGCAGATTTATTACTACTAGCAGGATAATTGGAACAAACATGTTTAGCCATATGATATGTTTCACAGGATAAATCTGACACTGCCACGTTACAAAATAAGGAAGGAAATAAATGTTTCAAATAAGCAAAAGAAATATGTCCTAAACGCACATGCCAACGCATAAGCTGGGCTTTATTAGATGAAACAAAGTTAGAAAATGTAGCTGAATGTGCTTGAGGTGACAAAGGAGCATCCAACAGGTATAAACCGTCCATTTCACGTCCACTGCCAATCGTCTATTTTGACACCAGATCCTGAAAAATACAATGAGAGGGAAAGAACGTTACACTACAATTTAATTGTTTGGTAATGCTACTAACAAAAATAAGATTTGTAGTCAACTTTGGAACATGAAGTGTATTTGACAAAGTTAATGGAGAAGTAACTGATATGTGACCCTTCCCAGCAATGGAAGATGGAGAGCCATCCGCAAGGCGGACCTTGCGTTGGCCAGAGCAGATACCATAAGATTGGAAGAGTGAGGACATACCAGTTATATTGTCTGAAGCACCAGAATCAATAATCCATGGTGTTGAAGATGTAGATATGCTATGTGCAGACGCAATAGTACCTGAGTGAGCATAAGTGGAGGTTGGCTGAGATGATGCCTCCATTTGGTTGAAGAATTGCTTAAATTTGTCCAAATCAGCTTGAGTCAAGCTAATTGTGGTAGAAGATGTAGAGGCAGGGTTGTTAGGAGTTGACAACGAGACTGGTTGTGTAACAAAATGTGCAGAGGATCTAGGCTGTTGTTTCTATTGCGGTGGACATCCATGTAGAGCATAACAACGAGATTTGATGTGACCAATTTTTCAGCAATGGTCACATCGTCCACGTCGTCGTCCCAGAGGAGGACCGGTGGTAATGCTCTGAACTGACTGGGATGGTGAAGTTCCTGAAAGGTTGGGAACCCGAACTGCCATAACAGAACGATCAACAGAAGCAACACCTAATTGATGAGTCCGGTGGCTCTCATCTGACAACACATAGGAGTATGCATCCTCAAGAGTAGAGAATGAAGACAAGCTCAATAAATGAACACAAGCTCAATAAATGAACACAAGCATACTCAAACTCGTCGTGCAACCCGGCAACAAACTGAAACACTTGATTCTTCTCCACAATTCCTGCATATAAAACTGCATCATCTGGATCCTTCCAAGAGTGGAAGGAATCATAATATGACATCTCCTCCCAAATAGCACGAAGCTTGGCGATGAACCTGAAACCGTCGAGTCACCCTGAGATATCCCTGTGATATCTCGCCCCAGCTGGAAAATTCGTGCATTATTCTACCTCTGAGAATAAGTGTGTTGAACTGAATCCCAAATCTGCTTAGCAGTCTTCATAAACATATAGCCAACAGCTATGTTTGGTTGCATCGAATTGGCTAGCCAAGACATAACCATAGCGTTATCTGCAAACCACCGTGGATATGCCTTCTCTAACTCAACTGACTCTTTCTCAGAACCAGTAATATAGCCAATCTTGCCTTTGCCACCAATGAACATCTTGGCAGACTGTACCCAAATCAAATAGTTGGAACCATCCAACTTCACTGTGGTGATTTGAAGTCCTGAATTTTCTGATGAGTTGGACACAACCATAGTGTTATCTGCAAACCACCGTGGATATGCCTTCTTCGACTCAGCTGACTCTTTCTCAGAACCAGTAATATAGCCAATCTTGCCTTTGCCACCAATGAACATCTTGGCAGATTGTGCCCAAATCAAATAGTTGGAACCATCCAACTTCATTGTGGTGATTGAAGTCCTGGATTTTCTGATGAGTTGGTGGGAAAAATGGCACCACCACCCACAGAACTTGAGCCAAGAGAATTAACAGTCGAGGACCTTGAATCTGCCATAATCTGTCACACGATAATAAAAAACTCCAAAAACACCACAAATTCTGTTAATAAATCAAAGGGTCTCCTCAGACCATAAACAATAACAATGTCTCCTCAGACCATTCCCGAAAAATCCAAATACATACCTTTTTTAAGGAGTGCTGCCCGCTTACATATAACCAGACAGCCTCCTTCTTAATATCCGGAACCTCTTTGTAGACATTTTTATTTTTATTTTTTATTTTTACCCAAGCCCTTCTAGGTGTTGGAAACCAACTATCCCAATTTACCTAACCCTAGAAGAGTGAATAAGAAATTGTAAAACTTAAAAATACCTGTTGTCGATCACAAAACAGCAACACAGAAAAATATGTGTGGGCAACATCACACGGTGTTACAAACAGCCTAAGGTAGCTGTCGCACAAGTAACAAGGCTGCTGAAAGGTGTGGAAAGGTGTTGGCTCTGATACCAAGTAGAAATATATAAAAAAGAGAAATGAGATAATTGTGTAAAGGCTTGAATGATATAAATTACTCATTCACAGTTCTAGTATTTATAGATAAAATGAGCACATGCTCATATTACAAGAAAGGAAACTAAATCAAATCAAAATCAATTCACAACTTATTCTAAAGCATATTCTATAGTATTGTCAAATTTCTGCTATTATGGTAAGTCATACCATAAATCGTGGTATCATATATGCTAACAAATTGTTCTTACTTAACGTCCTGCCGGAAATTTTCATTTCTAAACATCTTATGGAAAATATGTATATATATATCTCATTTCCAGATGTACTAAAGCATTTGTTTTCTCTTGAAAGATCGGAACTAACATTTGAAACTAATTTGGAATCATGGCTACACCACTCTACTCTATCAACAATTAATTTCGAGTCATTTCTTGAATCGTGACTCGGTCGCAACCACATATTGATTTTCATTCTATATTTAGTTAATGGGCAACTTGAGTAGTGGTATTGTGCATTTCATAGATTCCCTGGGAGATTATTATATGTGATTTAAGATGCCCCTATGACTTAGAATTCGCTTACCATTTAATTATTTATGTGATGATAAATGAATTTTTTATCAGTAGTTGGTCCATTAAGGTTATTGTTAACTTGATTATTTCTAAATTATAAAAGGGTAAATGACACCAACCTTCCAAGTACTCTGACGATTAAAAGGACATCTGTTCAGGTTTGAGTTTATTGTGTGCTCCCCTCTGGTTGCAGAATGAGGATAGGAATGAAATGACGTTAGTGGTTGTGCAGCCATATGTGTAATACAAGTTGCCCAGATAAAGAGGCAAAGGAAATTGTGGACTTCCAATAATCAAGAAATGGCTAGTGTAAATGACCAATAAAGGAGTTTTAAAATTTGTGGGACTAACCATCATCATACTTCTTTAGTTTCTTCCCTAGTGGTTATGGTGATTATTTTCTGTGTGCGCAAAATTTGTTTAGCTGTCATTGACTTTTGCCAAAATAGATGGTTTTAATGTTTTTGGAGGTAATCTTTTAAGTTTGTATACTTTTTATCTTTAATCTATTAATTTTGTCTTCTTGTGTGTGCTTTTTTCCCTATTGTCTCTACCGCCAAAGATTAGCTCGAGTGTTTTTCTCTCCGCTTTCCAAAGAAAATTTAATGGGTCAGAGTCCTGCCATAGTGAATGTGAATGTACGTCTTTGATATCAAAGGGGGGCAAAAAAATATATTAACTTCTATAATTTCACTGATTTTTTAGATATCACTTAGCCTTTCAAGCAGTTTACTGAGTGAAGCAAATACAGAGAAATATAGGGATTTACGTGCTCTTCTACAACTCCTTGCACATCTCTGTTCAAAGGATCTGGTACTTTTTCTCTTGATTTATTTCCACCAAAATTTGTTTTTGGCGTGTTTAATTTTGTTGAAGTGTGAAATTAGTTATCCCAATCTAAATTAATAAATTTGCAGGTTGACTTCTCATCGGATTCCATTGAGGGACAGGGCACAAACATATCTGAGGTATATCGGTGTTGCATTTCACCTTGTACAATTTCCTCGAATGGTTTCCAACACATTCAATTTGCAGGTGGTTTATTTGGGTCTTCACATAGTTACCCCTCTTATAACTTTGGACCTGCTGAAGTTCCCGAAGCTTTCTCATGATGTAAGCATTCTTTTTCATCATAAGAGAACATGCTGGTATTGTTTTCTGGAAGATAATACCCTTTTTTTTTTTTTTTTTTTTTTTTTGTCTTATGCAGTACTTCTCACTACTATCACATATGTTGGAAGTTTATCCTGAAATGGTTACACGACTAAACAGTGAAGCCTTTGCTCATGTACTTGGAACTCTTGATTTTGGTATCCACCATCAGGTAAATAACTGATCACTTAATTGGATTAAATCCACTTGAGGCTACAAATTTTTGTAATGGATTCGGTGAATTGCATGTCGAAAATTTGTGGCTGACCGATTTCTATATATATATTTTTTCCTTTTACTTTTATTTTATTAACCCTCTGATGGATAGGACACGGAAGTTGTTGACATGTGTCTGAGTGCTCTGAAAGCACTTGCTTCTTACCACTACAAGGAGATGGCTGCTGGTAAAGTTGGGTTAGGTCCGCATGCTTTAGATTTCAAGGACCCTGATGGGAAATCACAGGAAGGAATTCTGAGCCGGTTCCTTCGTTTGCTGCTGCACTTTCTCCTCTTTGATGACTACAGGTGTGATAAAAGCAAGACTAAGTTGATTGCCATACCTCATGATAGGATTAACTAATCAAAGCCTTTTTATTTTTTTATTTTTTATATACCTGGATGGTTTAAGCAATAATATTTTTCTCTCTTTACAACCATGATATAATCTTTATTTAATTCTCTCCAGCATTGATCTCGTCAGTGCTGCGGCGGATGCTCTCCTTCCATTGATCCTTTCTGAACAAAACCTTTACCAGGTATTTCTGCTTAGATTTTTGTATGATTTCACTGTAGAATTTCTGATTTCAGTTTTAAGCTATAAAACCTGATAACTAAACAGTATTTAGATTCTGGTTATTATTAAAAGGTACAAAGAGGGTGCCGTGAAGTTATGATGACCTCTATCTAATCTGTCTAGTTGATACAAAGTTTTTGAAGAATGGACCTGGCCCACTTCTTGGGGATCTGTTGGGACTGTATTTTCCATTTTCTTCCAAGAATAAATTGATTTGTTGTTGTCCACTCTTTTTTCCGATCAGATTTATTAGTGTCACCCATTATAACGCAAATTACAGTTGGATGTGCTTCTGACAAATTTCATCAAAAAAATTCTGAAAACTTGCTAGCAATGATTTAGTACTCGACATCACACGTTTTCGCCAAACTACATGGTTATTTGGAATTCTAGACAGTTTCAATTTACTTAGACATGTAGCAGACTCTCTTTTCCTTTTAAATGCCAATCTTCTGAGAGTTGTATGGCTTCTTATTTCTTACAGAGATTAGGGAATGAGCTGATAGAAAGACAGGCAGATCCAACATTCAGATCAAGGTTGGCAAATGCATTGCAGTCTCTCACAAGCTCGAACCACTTTTCTTCTACACTTGACCGAACAAGTTACCAAAAATTCAGAAAGAGTCTGCACAATTTCCTTATTGAAGTTCGTGGATTTCTGCGGACTATGTAGTATATGCAAACCATTCTGAATAGAAGTTCAAATGTGATTTTCTTTTCCATTTTATTTTTTTCCTGTATGTTTGCCAAAGGAAATCTTTTGGAAATCACGGGAATGCCTCAGTTTTTACAGGCGCTCATATTAGTTTTTTTATTGTGAATGTTATAGCGATTGCATTGTAGTTACCGCCAAAATTAGATGGTATGTGAAATTGTGAATGCTCTTGAAAGCATTATGGATGAAATGAGAAAGAAAGCTTTAAATTTGTTTCTGTTGCATTCAACAGTAAAAGCAAATGCTGAAAATAGTCTTCGTGTTGGCATTTTTCTATGGAAACATTATTTGAAGTAGGCCTTGCTCTCATACTTGCTACATTGTGCATTGCTGCTTCTCATATTGTTTCTAAGCATATGGCTTGCTCTCTTTCTTTCATGTGTTATAATTTCGCTTAATCCAACTTCAGAAACAATGCATTATCAATTGAATTCTCATTCCATTGAGTACATTTATCAAATTCCATGTATCTGTGCCATTGCATTTCTCACATCAAACTTTAAACCTGATGCTTTGCGAGATAGCAGAACCAAGCGAGTTACCCACTTGAGCCAAAAGCAAATATTGAAAACATATCCAATTGAATCATGATAGTGCATGTAACCCAATACATTAAAAAAGATTATATTTATGATTATCAGTATTAGTTGAAATAATGATTATAATTAATAGACAAATGTGTGGTTCAATCTTTCTTAACATGCTTGTGTTTTTTCCTAATCTTTGTCATCTTTAATTTTTGAGTTTATTAATCAAAGTATCACGTCAAATTTTAATTCACTTTTATTTTATTTTATTTTTATTACCTGACAAACTAGGGGAGAGGAGACTCATTCTCACATTACAGTGATTATGATGCAATGAAAACCTTGTGATACAACCACAAGGACATCATGACACTGTTGGAACAAGTTTTTAATGATAGTATATATTTATATTGTAATTGTTATATATTTTTATTTGTCACATTTTTAATCTAATACATTAAACTGTTAAATAATTTACAGCTTTTATAAATTTTTTATTTTAGTGTTGAACACGTAGTTTGTGACAGAAATTCACCCACTGAAATTGTGTGAGTTGTGTGAGTCTCATGAATGGGGATTTTTTATGTTCAAAAAGAATGATTATACCCTATATAACAAACTGTAATGCCTAACAAAAAAATAATTATAATTTATTTAATTTATTGCAACAAAAACCGGTTCGTATTTAATGGTTTTCTTTCTAATATTCTCAAAACATTGCATAGTTTGAATTATTGGAGGAAACCAAAATAAAATTTTATGTATATATTTATTTGTAATTAAAGTTTAATATATCTGTGAGTGATTTTCAACGAGCCGATGATCCGGATCCCAAATGAAAAAGCCTCCCATTAACAACAAAAATTTCCGCCTTCTTTCTTCTTCTCATCATACGCTTTGTAAACCATTTGATCACAGAGCTCTTTGAAAATCATACATCCAGACGTACTTTTGAAAGATCTAATTATGCTTTAAAATATCATTGGCCGAATGTGCAGCTTTGAATGTGTGTTATAACTTTTTTTTTTTTTTTTTTTTTTTCATAATTTGTGTGTTATAACTTTTACACAATAAACATGAGTAATGGCAATTTAAACTGTTCATTGCATTAAATCTTAGTAATTTATTCTTTTGACTAAACTAATGAGTCAAACGAGACTTAAAACATAAAATAAATAAAGATTTAGGCCAACATCTTAATTTTTTAAGGTGTGATAGCATTCTATATTCTCTCTAGAATATCTACAATTTTATAAAACTCTCAACCTGTTTAGAATCTTGTGTACCCTATGTGAAAATTTTTAAAACCCCTCCCACCTCATGTCATGCATGAAGCAATGCGAAAGATTCTAGAACCGTCTACAAATATCTACCCAGCTAAGGGCAGTGCAGTTAAATTGCATATTTGAATATAATTTTTTTCTAGTTAAATAAACACACACCCTTATAAGGAATTATATGTATTCCAGAAAAGTCAAATCTTATATCCTTCTCCAGACGACATAACCAAGTAAGTTATCCACTTGAGTCAACCCCTTACAATTTAAAGAAAATATTGAAGACACATACAACTGAATCATGATAGTGTATGCAAGTCAAGTACATTGAAAAAAATAAAAATAAAATAAAAAAATAAAATTAGTTAAAATAATGATTATAATTAACAGACAAACGTGTGGTTCAACCTTCCTTAACATGCTCATAAATTCCTCTGCATAATTTAGGCCACCCTACCTTACACCCCACTTAACCTCAAAAATTCACATCTAACCAAACGAATGACCCAAGGGTTCATACGACGACATATCTCACTAAAACATCTAGAACACAGCACGGCATCGGATTTGGAACAATCTGTATCACTCACTAAAACATCTGGAACACAATACAAGACAAGACAATCGAATTATATTATGTCCTTTTGAACTATCATGTTGAACCCTGGTCTAGAACTATCAACAACAGAACCTCTCAATTAAACCAATTAACCAAATCTTATTCTTATAGAGGGTCCAATTTATGTGTACGGCAAGGCTGGTTTGTACGTACAAAGTCCGATTCCTTTGTATGGCAATGTTTTAAACGGAAAATTAAAAGATTTTTGACCTAGCAATGTAATCCTCGTAATCCTTAAAGAAGAGGAGAAGGGTTTGAGTTCAGACATAGATAAAGGAGAGGTTGAGGGTTATCAATTTTTTAACAACCTAATGCGTAATTCTATTCGTAAACTACGAATTTCATATCCTTACACTTGATCCTAAAATTTGAATTTGAATAACATAATATGTTTCGAAAAATTGTTTGTACTACAAAGAAATTCCTTCTTTCTAGATTGTGTTGAAGATTGTCAATGCTTCTGTTATAATTGTTATTACTTAATTATTTAGCCCTGAAGTATGAACCCAAATACTTTAGAATTTAAACGTCTGGTTTATTATTTATTTATTTTTAAATATTAGATCTAACATGTAATGTTGTTTTATTATTTGTGTTTTATATCATTCATTTTCATTTATTTTACGTTTAAGTCTCTTTTGACTTGTTACTTTAGTAAAAAACATAAATTTGGTAAGCTTTTGATTCCGACATATAACTTAAATTTTATGCACAAAAATCACTAAAATTTACTAAACATAAATTTTTATTTAATTCTGTAGTAAAAAAAAAATGTGTAAGAGTAGGTTTTGGCCGTATTTGTTATTAAATAATATAGTAAAAAAATTGTGTACCGATACGTTTTGGCAATGTGTGTGTGGCTGATTGCATGCACTATAATGATTCAATTGAATATGCTTTCAATATATGCTTTAAATTCTAAGGGGTAGTTCGCTCAAGAGAGTAACTAATTTGATTCACTTGAAATAATGTTATTAATTCTTCATAATGGTTCTATGATTATTAATTATTTATATTTTAATTATTAAAATAGTGCATTACTGAAGCAACTTTTTTTGGTTTTTATTTTATTAAGAGAGTAACTAACTTGATTCACTTGAAATAATGTTATTAATTCTTCATAATGGTTCTATGATTATTAATTATTTATATTTTAATTATTAAAATAGTGCATTACTGAAGCAACTTTTTTTGGTTTTTATTTTATTTTTTTAAAGAGAAAGCAAACTTATGAATTGGCTCTCCATTCCAATACAAAGGTCCCTAATCAAATAGCCCAGGCCTTTTATCTCTTCATGCTTATCTTTATTTGTACCATTTTATTTTCCATACAATTAAATGTAGTTCCATTTGTTTCAATATAAAATATTTTTTTTGAAAAATATATATTTTTTTTCAAGTAAAATATTTTTTTATTTTTACTTTTTTGGTATTTGGCAAAAATCTACATCAAGGTTGAAGTCGAATCCATCGGACAGGACATGTAAAATAACTTTCCGAAAATTAATGAATAAGTTGTGTCTATAATCTAAGTTTTGCCTTGATCAACTTCACTGAAAGCTAATACAGTCACATTTATTTCTCAATGCTTATTGGTTCCCTGGAAACAGATTTTTTTTGCAAAATCTATTGGTGATAAATATCAGAAAAAGTTTTTTTAGTGGGTGGCTCTGTTTGTTTGGACGTAAAATATTTTTCAGGAAATTTTTATTTTATTTTATGGTGTTTGGTTGTTGTAAAATAATTACGAAGAAAAAAAATATTAAAATTTAACAAAAATAATTTATTCATAAATTTTCGGCAAATTATTTTATATGCCCCGCCCGATGGACTTAACTTCGACGTAAACCTTTGTCAAATACCGACAAAGTAAAAATAAAAGAATATTTTACCTGAAAAAAATATATATTTTTCAAAAAAAATATTTTACTTCGAAACAAACGGAGAAAAACTTATTGAATTAGGGTCGAATTAATTTTTATATGATTTTGTCCTATCAGTTGATATATTCCTTTGAATCTTAATGCTAATTTGAATGGTAGATGTGAAGACCTTAGAATAAGTTTTCTGATTTTTTTTTTTTTTTTTGTAAAAATTATGTTGGATGATAAGATGATATATACGGCCCTATAATAGATTTTGTAATGGTGTCATGAAAATATTTTGTGTTGATTATTATACTCATCAATAGCTAAACATGCATAATTTTCTACAAACATTTCACATAAAGTTATGTGGCTTTAGTGCTTTACAAGTCCTTTTTACTTTTCAAGGATAAATAAAATGTGTAATATTATTTTTTTATTCGAAAGCCTTTGACAAAAAGATTTGTACAACTTTCATGTAACGACTCCAAAATTGCCTTCATTTTATTAGGTCACCACAGTTTTAAAAGTAAATTATTCGAAAGCCTAGATAAAAAAAAATGTGTACTACTTTTATTTAACTACTTTAAAATTGGTCATCACAATTTAAATAGTCGATCCCAAATAATTTTTAAAATAAAAAAATTATTGAGTAAAGTAAAAAAATTTCACACCTATTTTAATAAAAATAATAATAAAACAAATAAAAAATCATCACGCGTTTGAACCAACCCGAGCCCGAACTTAAACACACTCCAAAGCAAACTTGGCTTGTATTTTACTAGCAAAGTTATCCAAACGTTGGGTTCACATGAAGTGCAACGAGTCACCTTCCTTGGCCCAAATATGCATTTTTATTTTTATTTTTTTATTTGTTTTTTTTTTTTTTTGAGTAATGCAGAATCAATTCACCCATTCATTAGCCACTTCAATCCTTAAGATGATTACGAACTCTCAGTACAGGTCGTTCGGCTGTATGGAATTAATAAAAAAAAATTTTAAAATTAAGTTAATTTTGTGAATAGTTTTTTTTTTTATTTTTTTTTATTTTATCAATTATAATTTTAAGGTTTCAATTCATGTAGCTGAACATAACCGTACTTATCATTGAAGACTTTGTAATCCGGACTTCATGTATTTTTATTGTTTCAATAACATTATTTTTGTCTTTTCAGAAGAAAAAAAAATAGAGGAGAAAGATAAATGCTTTCATATTATTTTTAATTAGAAACGGTGGATGGCGATGCAGTGGTAGGATAGGAGAAAAAACAAAGAGAGGGAAAAAAAGATATAGAAAAAGATGAAATACTTTTAATAATTTGGTAAAAATGTTAATTCACAACCTTAATTTTTTTTAAAATTTTATGAATAAAAAAATTGGATAAAGAGAGAAATGTCAGTGTGCCCAAAAATAAGGTGCTATGTGCTATGTGCGGAATGTTAAAGACAAACATAATATTTATTGTTATTTTACACAAAATGATTGATTTCATACTTAAATTTATGTTACACCAACCAATAATGCTACTGAAAAAATTAGCTAAGTACTCTAATTAAGAAATAACAAGACAAGAAACATGATTGCAGGGGGCTTATAGTAGCGTTACCTTCTTGTGGAAAATTCTATAATATATTCGCTACATTATTTACACCAACAACAAAACTCCATAATAATTTAAAATATTCTTCATTCAATAATAATTTAATATATTCTTCATGCTAAAACAATGCATACAATTCTGCCCAACTCTAAAACTTTATAGAATTTCAACTTTACACAATTATAGATGTACACTACCCATCTCTTCATAGAAATTAAAGTCAGATAACGATTGAAACACTATAAATACATGTATACGCTAAATCACAACAATGATAATTTATGGTGAGAAACGTCAAATAAAATTAGAAATTTTTTAAATTTTGTAGATCACAGTGGTCTACAAAGCCCTATAACAACTGTATAATCACACAAGATCCGTATAATTGCCTTGTTAACGTACACTATGGTGAAAAGAAACTGTCACTTAAACAGTAATCGACATCCAGCAATGCAAAAAAAGGAAAGGTTTTAAGGTATATAGATATATATATATATATATATATATATAACTTTTTTTTCTTTTTTCTTTTTTGGTAATGATACTGTTACATGACCAAATTGAAAAAGGAATTGAAAAAGCCCTTGAATGGTATAGTGAAACTGCGAGCATCTATGAGAGACAGAATGAAAACCCGGAGCCTAATTTAGATGAGAGAATTGAGGTTTTGTATAAAACTGAGATGGTGTAGAAATTGAAACTTTGATGGTGGATTAATTATACAATTAATTACTTGTTGTAGGTGCGGGGGCCTCTTTCCTTGTGGGAGACTGTAATGGTTGGGCTTGTTGCCTTGTGGCTGACCGGTTAGACAAGGCACGTATGTCGTGGGAGCTGCCACAACAGAGGCCACAACCGTTGGAGCGAATTGCAATGCCAAGGAGGACATGGAATTTTCCAAGGCTGTCCGGCACTTTAAGGGACAGCCAGAGACCCACGGCAGTGCAACAGAGGCCGCAGTTGACTGCGAATGAGTGGGGGACAACTAATAATAATTTGTAAATACAATTGAAACTGTTCGTGGTTTTGTTGGACAACTAATAATAATAGTCATTATATATTTAAATCTATAATGACTATTTCCTTATTAAAAATCTGAGAAGTGTACTTGGCCACCTCATGAACAGATCAACATTGAACTTACCAATAACTATTGAACTCCATGAAACAGATCAACACAACACAGTTTGGCGAGAGTGAAACTTCAGAATTTTCAGGAACATTTCATACCAATCCTCTGTCCTGAAAAAAAAAAAAAAAAAATCCAATCTTCCATTTGTGATAGATTAGATTCCGGTTTCTTCCCAGAATCTGGAGCCTTTGCTGCTGTGCTTGGCAATTGGTCTCTTCGTGCTCGTGTTTGGTCTCTTCTGAGGCCGCGGGATCATAAGCATTGAGCTTATTGCACTATAAGCTCCCTTTCTGCTCACCGAACCTTCTAACGGCTACTATACTAGCCGCTAGTAACGACTATTTAAAAGTAGTTATGACATGTTAGGGCTATGTAAGCCTCAATTCAATTTGGGCTTTGTCCTTTTTTCTTGTTTCCAGCCTTCTCATGCTTCTGTACTAGCCCATGTTTGGAGTTGGGCTCCAATACTATTTGGGCCTTATTAACTCTTGGGCCTCTTGCACTTCTTCATATATCAATTGTTTAAACCTCTATTAGAAGAAAAAATGAAAAATAACAAACTTGGAATCATGTGTTCTTTAGATTCCTACTTGGATTATATAGTGACACCAAACACCATGTGGCATAGTGATATCTCATCTACTAAAAAATATATATATATATATATATATATATATATATATATATTATTTTATTTATTAATAATAAAAGCAAAAGAGAAATCACTTGTTATGCATATATATATATATATATATATATATATAATGAACACCCTTCCTCACTCTTTCTCTCAAGTTCTTATTTTTTGAAATATATTAAGGTATATTTTTATAAACAGATTACTATATAATTTTATGAAATTTTGGAAAATGCTTCTCCTAAAATTTCCACTTCCTAAAATGCCTATCAATTTTCCTTTCTTTTCTCTTTGACTTGTTTTTCTTCTTCAATTTTCTTTGATTCCCTTCAAATAATAATAATAATTATTATTATTATTATTCCCCTTCTTTAATCAAACAATCTTTTCCCCCCCTTCAAAATTTTCTTATTTTTCTTTCTATTTTATAGTACTAGATATTTGGCAGTTAGGAAACAACATTTGCATAAAGTGAGCGTATGACAAAAATGCGAATGTCAAGATGAATGTGCACTAAGTCTATAAATAATAGAATTAGAAATGATCACATTTGAAAAAATGGTTGGAGTAACACCAATTGAAAAATAAAATGAGAAAAAATCGGTTAATATAATTTGGACACGTGTCTTATTTAAGTGCACATGTTAAGAAAAATGAAATATCCCATATTGAGGTAATACTAATGAGAAAAACTTAAAAGCTCTGATATGGTATCAACTGTATCATGCACTAATTATAAACGGACACATAATCATAGGACCCACTAAATTAGATACATTCTTATTTTTGTAATATTAAAAAAGAGTAAAACCAAAGTTAAGATAGATAGAATTGATAAAATATATATATATATATATATATATATATGATAGAGAAGTGATAGATCTTCCGACCTCAATTGTTGACTACTCTTTCGAATATAACGTGGTTAGAAATGAGTCGAAGAGAAAGAGATGTTTACGGGAATTTTTTTAAGAGTTTCAACGGAATCCAACCACATTATATTCGGAGGAAGAGTCGGCAATTAAGGTCGGAAGACCTATTATTTTTCTATATGATAACATATGAATTAATTAAGTGCCATGACATTAAATAGAATAGATTGGAAATATGAGATTCATTACATATTGAGTCTTTACAAAACAAAAATATTTTGTGGCCATATGTGTGTGTCTCAGGTTATTGGGGTCTTATGGTAGCAATGTTTTGTTTTGTAATGAATCAATTTTGTGGCCATGTGTGTGTGCCTCACAAAATTCCTTCAAATCCTTCTCTCTTTGTAATGCCTCTCAAGCTATGTTTTCAGTTGTTCTGAGCTCTCATCATCAGCTCTTTATTAGCTGCCTCCATTTCTGCCCGACTACAGTGACTTGATTGAGTGCGCTTTGCACCGTAACATTCACATCCTTCCTTCTTGCCAAGAATGGGGCGAAAATTAGCAATTCCATTAACCGGGCCAGCACCCTCAGAAGCAGACATTTGAGGCAGTGCAACTGTGCAATCATCTTTTCCTACAAACGCGGGTTACAAAGTCAAGTTGTTGCAAGAAGCCGAAGGAAACTCAAAATTGGCAGGTCTAATATGTTAAGATAAGACTATAATCATAAGACATACCCGGGTCCCAAAAACCCCTAAAAGAAGAAAAAATGGAGAAAAGGGAGGCCCTAAAATATATCTCTCATTCATTTCAGCCCACATGCTCTCAGAATGGTATGGAATACAAATTTTATTGATGGTCATCAGTCAGAATATGCAGCATATCTCAGATGCACAGGCAAGCAAACAAGCATGCAACTAATCAATCCAACGGAGTTCCACTAAGCACTTTGCTGAAAACATTTGAAACTAGACCATTTTCAATTCCATGGTATCTCAAGGGAGTTGTGCTTTCAGACAAGAACCTTAGTTGGGTATATAAATTTGCTGTGATTTAAGTAATCACGGCTAAGAATGAAAACACATGCTGCTATTTCAATTTTATCAACTAGAATACAAAATGCTATTTCATTTTTAACAACTGGAATAAAAAGTACATTATCTACTCCTTACACAAGTTTGACACCGTGAGACACCTCAAGAATAGATTCATCAATCATTCATAACTCAATGCACAGTGCTCACGTGAATATTAAAAAAAAATCAAAGTTGAGGCCAAATCTATATGCCTACATATTGAATAATGTTGATGCCTTTATGTCTCAAACCATTTTTTCTGTTCAATAATCCAACCAACTAACCAATCCCCGCATCAAGCAAAAATTCAACCCAAAGTGAATTCCAAAATGAGTTCCAAATTTCCTTACGATATGTGCCCGATGAAATTGGCTAAAAGAGTTCTTTTTTCAAAAACAAAAAAAGATAAAATCAGTAGCAGTTGCATTGCATTTGCAGTTAGAAGAAACTGACAGTTTGCAAAACAGAATTTCTTTTGGTGTCTTTACTGTTCTGGGTGACTTTGAACTTGTACTTTGGGTTTTACTTGGTTGCCTTGGTTTTGATAGATAGATAGCATTCGAATAATAATAGCAAATAAGTAAATAAACGGCAAGAAATAAAATAATACATAACACTATGATAAATAATTAAGTAAAAATTACCCTGACATGACTAGATTGGTAGAGTTGTCGACCCATCAACACCATCTGAAGCACCCTCAGCTGGGGGAGGATGCTCCATAAGGACAGATTTGTTAGAGGTTCTAGTGCAGTTAACACCGGACACCATAACAAAGGGCTTGGAACAAAATCATGCGCCTAAGAGAAAGAGCATCCAGCAACCAACACGATAAAAGCAGCAAATTCTTACGAACCAACTATGAAAGCAGGTGTTCGAAATCTGCAGCCAAAACGAAAATAATCAGCATACTCACTTTGAATACTGATAGAGTGCAATTACAAGGTTAAACAACTAAAAAAGTAAGTCATCAGAGGACAGTACCTCTGTATCAGTCTCTTTTGCTTCCCTAGTTAAGCCATCAGAGGACAGTACCGCTGGATGAGTTTTGTTTTTTCTCAGTATGAACAAAAGCCAAGTACCCTTACCGAGAAATAGGGCCCAAAACAGTAAACAGCTCTGACTATTAGATAAATTCATATGATCAACAGAACCAGCAAAATTTGCAATCATTTTCACTCCCTAATTGCAGAATATCTTTCTAACAAGAAAATGAAATGGTAATGTTAAGTTATTTCATATATAGTTGGGCAGACAAAACAAATTTTTACATAATACTTTCCATTTTTATTCCCCGAGGAAAAAGCATTTGCCCCCCCAAAAAAAAAATGAAAAAAGAAAAAACAGAATAGAGCAAGCATTAGAGAACAATCCATAGTATATATAATTTTGTTTTTTTAACTATAAAAGATGCTCAAATAGTAATATTTTTCATATTCAAAATGTTTATATAGTTCAATAATTATTTTTAGAATTATCTCAATTGGACAAGCATCATTTTTCCATTGAGTCCTTCTTGCAGCATTAAGGAGGTCAAAAAGCTGAAATATTTCTAGGATGATTAGTTATATATATATATATATATATATATATATATATATATATATATATATATCACACACACACACTATATATATATATATCTAGAGAGAGAGAGGGGGGGAAAGAGTACCTCAAAGATCCTTTTGAAGAGATGGATAAATAGAGTGAATCACCAACAGAAATTTGAAAGCTCATGAAAAAGTGCGAAGGAAGCAATAGAAGCAAGAGGTTGATGGAAAGAGCAGATGGATTGAAATGGACCACTGATAAACAAAGGCAGAAGAGCAAATGATCACTCCTTGTATGGCAAGTTTCAGAGCATTGTAACTTGTGTCTTTTTGAAAAAATACATAAAATTTCTACCAAGGTAACTGGAAATTCCAACCAATAAGAAGCGTAATGAACCTAAAAGAGGATAAAGGCCTAGTAGAGACCCTTCTATAAATTCTGCCCATATACGTTCTGATCGCCAACTCAAACTTGATCATTGAAACTAATTCCCATATACTTCAGGAGCAACTTTGATTTGATCAGAGAAACAATCCCTTGCTTGTTTTCACCAAGCCACATTCTTTATATCCCATCTTGTCAAGCAGTTTCATCCAATTCCCACCAGCATTCCCTAACACCTCCCAACTCAGTTTCTCTCATTTGTACTTCCCACAAAAAATTAATATCACCCTGCATTTGAATTTTAACAAGGCACCCGATTATAATTTAAAGAAAGAAAAAGTAGTTCAACAATGAGTTAGGTTGCAAGAGATGAAGCACAAAACATGACCATTTGAACTGCTCAACATATTGAGTGCCAATCCTGGATTACGCTTCCCCATAGAAACATTATCACATTCACATCATAATTAATATTCGAAACCTATTCAAGAATCTAGCTATGAAATCACCCCAATTCAATTGACGCTGTCCCATGAGCCTATAGTATTTTGTCAAGAAAGATCTTACAGACCAAAGGAGGCACCAACTCTTCCAAATGTTCACAACCCAAAGCGTTACTTCGGGGGCAAGCTGAGATAATGGAATCAAATATTCTGGCTGTGCGAATAGCAACTTATATAAACAATTGAATATAAAGGAAAGGGTGCATCTGAAAATTCAAAACAATTTCTTCTGCTTCTCCACAGAAAATAATCTCTGAAAGGTCTGATGGATTCGAAAAAGGTGCTTTTTTTTTCTTCCTCCTTAATGGGATGGTTCTATTATTAACATAAAGCAATTAGTACATAGGTAGGGAGGGAATGGCGTACCGTCATCGTACAAAGTGTAAACAAGAAAGGAAAATGAAGTTGATGAGGTGCCATTCTTGAAACTCAGGTTCTCTCCTTCGTAGTTCATACTTCTCATGGAACAATAATTTCACCCCCAAAACATGAAGAAGACACTGATGCAAGAATCAATAAGTCATGCATGCATCACACTGCAAGGCCAACAAAATGTGAAACTTCTACCCAACATGAGAAAACCCAATAGAGATCACATAAACTTTTTGAGCATCTCCAACACTGACTGATCCAATCCACTATTATTTGATAAATTCAATAATAGGGTTATAGTACATGCATCATCAGCATAGAATCCCTTCTCAACCATTTCTTGAAAAAGTTGTATTGCCTTAAAGTCTCATTGTTTCGAAGAAATCCCTGGACAACTATAATGCAAGTGAAACCATTGGGTGAGCAACCACTCTCTTCCATTAATCAATATGTTATAGCTTCTGTAACCAATCTGTCCTTACAAAGACTGTCAATGATCATGCTATAAACAATGACATTGCTTTCCCAATTTCTCTCTTCCATCTTCTTAACCAACTCAATAGCCGCCTGGTGTACCCCGTTTTGCACAACCCATTTAAAATCATTCCACAAGTAACTGTATTAAGTTAAATCCTTTTGCCACCATGTAATTAAACAACTCTACTCCCTGACCTAGTTTATCATGGCGACAGAGTCCCCTCATCAGAGTGGTGAGCATTTGTACAGCTCACGTCATAACCAATGTTCGAGCCAGAACAGACAAACCCAAATCGACCCGATTCAAATGGCAGTAACATCATGATGCCTAGAGTATGAGCGTCTGGCTCAGCTATTTCTGAGGACTCCATTTGCTCAAGTAAAGAAATTGCAGTGGTGTAATGTTTCATTCTCACAATGGCCCCTAACAATTTATTAAAATGCACAACTGAAGGAAGAGGTCGCATTTGAGACATTTGATCGAACAGTGAGGGTGCATCGTCAAGGTTAGTGAAATCAAATCCATTTTGATTTCGCAGACTTCATGAATTGGGTTCGACTACTCGTACTGTGTGGTTTATGATGTTGACCAGTTTGGGAATGAAAGGAAGCCCTTAAATTGTCGCTAGCAAATGGATAATCAACGAGGAAAAGTACATTTCTGGAGAGAGAGCACCACCACATCCGAACTTTGAGAGGCAAAAACACTTCGTTTCATCATTTTCAGCTCCTCCATCTCTCTTTCCATGTACAGACAGTCACACACATGTATATATGTAAGCCCCCCTAAAGATGGGGGTTTATTCGGTGCTTGGGACTTGTTTCAGCACCTAAGTTGGTTTCAGCACCATAATATACCGACAGTTAATTCAAATTGAGTAATTTAAAGAAAATAGTGAATATAAAATGTAAGGATAAAGTCACACTCTTCGAGATTTGATGAAAGGATATTTATAGGAAACTTACTTATTTTTTTGGACAAAGACACCCTTGAAGATTCAAAAATAGACAAAGATACCCTTTTACATGAAAATTTGACCAAATTACCATTTGACCATTTAAGAGACTTTTTTAATTGTACAATTTAATAAATTTAACCAATTTACCCTCATGAATAATTTATGCATAAAAAAAAAGTAAAAAAAAAACTTTATATTATTCTTTTTTTTTTGGTTATTTACTTTATAAATGTCCCAACTTCTTAAAAATGTAGACGTTTAAAATGATTTTTTGATTCAATACATATATTTCAAATAAATTCTATTTTGTTATTGCTTCTTTTCTTTTTCTTTTTTATTTTTAGATTAAGATGCTTAATTCTTTCGTCTAAAATGATTTTTTGATTTAATAAAAAATTAAACCAATCTCTTTTCCTTAAAAATAAAAAATAGGGTACTAGTATAACTTTATGCATTTTAAATTATATATCAAATATTATGCATTTCCCAACATAAAAGAAAATAGGTACCAGTATAACTTTATGCATCTTAACTTTAGGTATGCCTTTGTTTCTTTTTCTTTTTTTTTTTCCTTTGTTTTATTATTATTTTTTTTCCTTTTATATTGGGAAATGCATAACATTTGATATATAATTTAAGATGCATAAAGTTATACTGGTTCCATATTTTTTATTTTTAAGGAAAAGAGATTGGTTTAATTTTTTTTAAACAAAAGAATTAAGCATTTTAATTTAAAAATAAAAAAGAAAAAGAAAAAAAGTAATAACAAAATATAATTTATTTGAAATATATGTATTAGATCAAAAAATCATTTTAGACGTCCATATTTTTAAGAAGTTGAGACATTTATAAAGTAAATAACAAAAAAAAAAAAAAAAAAAAAAAAAAAAAAAGTGAACAATATAAATATATATATTTTTTTAGTTACTTTTTTTTTATGCATAAATTGTTCATGAGGGCAGATTGGTCTAATTTATTAAATTGTAAAGTTAAAAAAGTCTTCTAAACGGTCAAAGGGCAATTTGGTCAATTTCTCATGTAAAGGGTGTCTTTGTTCATTTTTGAACCTTTATGGGGTGTCTTTGTCCAAAAAACAGATAAGTTTCATCTGAGTATCATTTTGCCAAACCTCAAAGGGTGTTGTGATACCCCTCGGATCCGAGACACGGGTTGATCAGGCCTAGGCCTAAACCCGAGGGAATATATAACAATTAATATTTTATAATGAACACGGAATACAAAAATGAATTGAGAAATGAAATTAAAGCTGAAAGGAACTAAAAATAGAAGTCACAAAAATAATATAATTATTGAAATCCATCAAACCCAAACTCCAAAACTCCATCAGTTTACAACCGAGGAATCCATCTCTAGTGGACCCCTAATAAACATCTAGACTGAAATAAAACAATTGTAATAACATCCAAAAATAAACTATAGAGAGAATCCTACATCGTCGGAAGAGTGAATAGAGACCTCTGTTCAGCACGAACACGTCTAAGCCTGGAACTGTCGTGTACCTGTAAAAATAGAAGTGGGTCAGGCCCACGCGCAAGTTCTATACTTCTACAATCCAAACAGAGGCCCGATACGCATGTGCATCCTAAACAATTCAACAATAACTAATAGTCCGTAGGTATATACATAGTCACACTAAAGGACTCTCACTGGACTACAGGCCGGTCTCAACCTAAATAGAGGTAACATGCCTAAATGCACACGAAGTGGGCATGTGTACCTAAACCTAAACAGGGTACACCTCTAACCATCGTATCCAGCTATGCATCCTAATGCATATACGCTCCCTAACCGTCGATACTGAGACTAAAGCTCATATCGAGGTACCATAACAATATATTTAAAGTTCATCCTGAATCCTAGTAGTGCCGCTCAACTAGTTGTTGCCATGACACTACAATCAATAGGACTTAACTTTTAGTTAATCCAATTCTTAATCCAGAGTACGTAGGTTTTGGTATTTTGAATCCAAACAGCCCTTAGTATACCACCGTTCCATACCGGTGTATACTATCCAATCATCCAATAGTTGATAATATCAACAATTAAAGTAAACATCAACTAAATCCATACATCCCACACTTGATACCAACAGTAGTAATGTAAGCATCGATAAGTAGAGTACAAGTATATACATAAACATGCTCAGTACATACAGTTCCATAAAATCCGGTATACTATTAAGTTTAAATCTTAATAACATTCAACAGCCAGCAGTTGATATTACAGATCTCAAAGTAACTATCAACTAAGTTCATAACTCCAATAATTGACACAACTGAAATCATGAAAACATCAAGAACAGAAATACTGTAAGCATATAGACATATTTAATCTATAGTATTTCCCCAAAATCCAGTAATACTAAGTTGGTTTAATTCTTAATATTATTCCAAGTTGGTTTAATTCTTAGTATTATTCTATACCAACTCATCCAGAACAGTTATCATTCAGATACATGACCATGATATACAGTTAAGCATGTTGCAATTATATCGTTCGTCTCAGAAGACTACTAATTCAGAGAGTTAAACATTACTAACTTTCCAATTCCTAAACATAGTGAAACTATCTAATTAATTCCTCACGGTCCAAACTGTTCTAAGCCCATAAACTTAATTAATACCACATCTGGAGCCTTAATCTAACCATATACATCCATTAAACCTTTCATATTAAATACTGAACTCAACTGGAAACTTCAGAAGCAACCATCGCATGCAAAACTGACTGGAACAAAGAAAAATAAAATAAAATGCACCAAAGGAAATGTCTCCAAAAAGTGGAGCCGCCTCCTTTAGACCTTGGAGCCGGCTCCACTTTTTGGAGCCGCCTCCACATAAAAAGGGAGCCGGCTCTCTCCAAGGGAGAGCCGGCTTTCTCTCTCTCTGTCTCGTTTCTTCGCCCTCTGTCTCCGATTTACGCCTCTGTTACTTCACCGTCACAATTTCCAGAGGCTGTAACCCAATCTCAGCATATTCCCAATCCCGTTTACGTCTTTATTACATTACATACATATGTTTAAATAGAGAGATATGCAAGCAACTATCACGTTTTAACAGAATTTTAAGCATACAAGACATACAGATCAGTTTCTAGTTTAAGCACGAACAGAGTATGTGTTTAGTTGATTTAGTTAATCCTAAAACTGTTTAAGAATGCAAAGAACACGAAACCTAAGGGAGAGAGTAAGGATAGAACTTGCCTTTTGAGATTTTTGTTAAAAATCTCCACGTTGTCTTCTACGATCTCCGGCGATTCCTACTGCAAACTTCCTCTGTTCCTCCTCTCTATTTCCACAGACGTGTTTTGGGTTTTTTTTTAAAAAAAACCCTAGTACAACCTTATTACATCTATTTATAAGGTTACACAAAACCTAAAGCTAATTGAAGCCCTAATGTGAAACCTAAGCGGCCCATAACACCATCTAAGTGAATAAGCATGTCGGCTACTTACCACCAATCCTACAATAACGTGAATTTAGGAAAACAAGTAACTTTAATTTATCTTAATTACCAATTAACCAAAAACTAAATAAAACAATAATCAAATAATTAAAGAACACAATTAAACCAATTAAAACATTAAATAAAACAATTAATGAAAAGAAAACAACTAATTACGATTAAACCAATTAAAACATTAAATAAAATAATTAATGAAAAGAAAACAACTAATTACACTTAAACCAATTAAAACATTAAATAAAACAATTAATGAAAAGAAAATAATTAAACAAAATACCGAGACTATCCTTTTGAAAATTAGGGGTATTACAGGTGTGGCTTTACTTTACCCTAAATTTAATCGTGGTTCGCCCTATCATCCGATACGCGACCTCAAATTTAATATGCGATTCGTATTGGTCAATTTATACTGACTTTGTCTGAATTCATTCATTACACTGCAACCGATATTACAAAACATGGTCACATGTGTTAACAAATGTGACCATCAATTAAAAATTAAATTTATAAAAAATATAGAAAACATTTATCTGATTCTGAAACATTTGTAATTTTCTTGTTATTAGTTGAAATTTATTTTTTATATTATTATTTTTTTATACAAAATTGATATAAAGTGATTATAAAGTCAAATATATCTATATATATATATATATATATATATATATATATATATATATAAGTAGCCAGCAAATTTAATTTGCAAAGTAACAAAATCCATGAATTTTTAATTTTAATATTTTTTATTTATTTATTTATTTTTTTATTATAATAACTTGAGAGCTTATTGGGGGAAAAAAAAAGAAAAAAAATCTGAAAAGCAAAAACAAAAGTGTTTCATAGTCACCAAATTTATTTATTTTTTTATACAAAATTGATATAAAGTGATCATAAAATCAATTTTTGCAATCCTTTCTAGTAAGTGGCTGTGGAGGGAAAAATCTCCCTCCAATAAAAGTCATCCACGTGACAATAGTTGAAGCTTTATTTTTATTTCAGGGCCCAAACCTATTCAAGCCCAGATAAAGGTACTCACAGCCCAAGGAGTTAAGATTAAGTTTTTGGCCCGTTAATACTGACATTTGGACCAGTATACATTCAGCCCAAGTCCGCTATATTCAGCTCAACTTCGTGTAAAGAACAAGACCAGTCCTGCTAGGCAAAGGATTCAACAAAGAAGGCAAGTTCTGTGCAAAGAAGGTTTTGCATAGAAAGAATTATAATAAGGAAATAACTCTAATTGTAAAGAATGTTGTATATGGAATGAATTGGAGGACAAGCAAGGCGAGTACTACCATAATTCTACCACCTTGTTTCATATAAATAGAGGCCTAAACCTCCAATAAAAGCATCGAGCATTATACGTTTTTCTCTGAGTATTATAATTGCTTGTTTTT